TTTTTTTAGAAATAATGTATTATTTGTTGAAACATTTGAATTCTAGAAAAAAACTGAACATTTTACAAAACGTATACACAGTTCTATCGACCCGGTCTCTTCCCCCCCCCCCCCCCCCTCCGTGAAAGTAGCCTCCGTGACGACAGTTTACAGACGACAATGAAAAGATCAAACAGAACTAGATTATCTGCCCCTAGTAGCCGTCACTAATTCGTCTCGGCTCTACGATTGTAAACATTCGGCGTGAACTACAGCTCACCAGACTGGTGGGGTTGGGGGGGGGGGGGGGTGATATCGATATGGTCTGTTGCGCATGCCTGGTGTGCGTACGTGTTGTTGGTGTCCCGCATGGTCCCACGTAGAGAATTATAGATATACGAGCCGACCCGCTGCGTATCATACGCCGATATTTAGTTATTCTTTTTCTACTTTTCAGTAATTTATAATTTGTGAATTCGACAGTACCAATGCTGCCACTGAAAATATTTGCTTAAAAACACTAAAGCCCCCACCATACGTGAAAACAGCCTCCTCTAAGTTTCCTCCTCTAAGTTTAAAATCGTTTCAAACTAAATTACCTGCCCCTAATAGCCGTCACCAAACCCGTCTCTATGATTGTAAAATGTAAACAGCGTGAGCCACAGCTCACCAGATCATGTGAGGGGGTGGGGGTGGTAGCGATAGAGAGGAAGAGAGGGGACTGCAAGGAGGCGCTTGCAGCTTGTTTTCTAACGGCTCCCAGAAGAGAATTATATATATAGATATAGAGATAGATAGATGATCTCAAGCAATACAAAATACTAAATTTTAAGAAATTACTAACTTCCATCACTTGCATTGCTGTTACATTTTCACCTTATTAAAAACGCGAATGTCTTGATACAGAGTGGAAATTTGTACGGTTCCATGGTACGATGTTACATGTTAGATCAGAAGCTAGTGCATGGAGAATAAATATTATTAATATATATTAATATGTCAAAGTCTACTAACATCTCTTTATTATCTGCTTATAAAAACTATTTATAGTCGGGTAGATGAGGCCCGTTAGCTGGGGACAGCCACTCTTCTAGGAGAGACAACTCCAAAATCAAACAACTGCTGCCTTGTAGTTTTTTCTTTGTTGGACAAAGGCTATGGAAGCAAATCCATAAAGAAAAGCAGGCTGAAATCGGAGTCAATGGCCTCATTGGCGCATAAACAGTTGACACGTATACTTAATTGTGTTGGTGGGGATCCTTTTCAACACTAAATTTAAGAACGAAGAAGAAGAAAAAGAGGACTAATTATAGGAACCTGAAATAAACTCCAACATTTGTAATTATTTCGGATATATGCAGCTTTATTTTAGAACATTACTATTAGAATAATTTTTCAAATGAGATAAATTATCTCACACAAGCACACATACAATGACGCATCAACAAAAGTAGTTTGAATAAAATTAAATAATACTCTAGAATTGTTTCGTTTATGGTTTTTTGCAGTCACAGCCTCAATCTCGTTTAATAGAATATAACAGGTGTCGGTCCAGTCTGATCCAGTCTGCCTAACATGGAGATGCCTTACAACATGTAGCCAGAGATGCCATCCACGGAGATTATAATGATCATCAGAGGGGAGCCGGGCCTTTTCCCGAAAGACACTTGACGGAATGCCGTTTGTCCGAAGGCCGATTTCCCGAATGGACACTTGCCCGAATGCGACAAATGCCCGAATGGACACTTGCCCTAATGCGACAAATGCCCGAATGGACACTTGCCCAAGTGTCCATTCGGGCATTTGTCCCATTCGGGCAAGTGTGCCCAAGTGTCCATTCGGGCATTTGTCGCATTCGGGCAAGTGTCCATTCGGGCATTTGTCGCATTTGGGCAAGTGTCCATTCGGGCATTTGTCCCATTCGGGCAAGTGTCCATTCGGGCATTTGTCGCATTCGGGCAAGTGTCCATTCGGGAAATCGGCCTTCGGGCAAACGGCATTTGGACAAGTGTCTTTCAGGAATTTGTCGTAGACCCCTATCAGAGGTACATCTCACATAGACTATTAGTATTCAAGTCTATTTTTTTTTTTACCCCACTCACTAGTAAAGTTACCCTTTAGAACCTGGCGGCCATGGAGTAGATGCAGCTTTTTTTTTTAAAGGAGATCTAACTACAACACAGTTTTTCTTTCAGACTAGACTTATTTCTCAGGGGGGGGGGGGGAATACTTAAAACTTGGTGAATGGAAAAACAGTCACAGAAAAAAAAATCGAAAAAGAAATCACAGTTTTTGTTAGGAAAAAGTCACAGAAGTAAAGTCACAGAAAGAAAGTCAAAAATGTGTAATAAGAAATATTGTGATTTACTTGTTAAGAAATGTAAGATTTTGGGTGTGTATAAATATGGGTGGTGTCTTTAGTAACTGTAAAAGCTTTATGGTTTTTAATAATAATCCGACTTTGATCTTCACGATACGTAAAAGTACAAAAGATAATTTACACACCTGCCTCACATTTTGTTACATATTTATTTAAATATTTGGTAGAAAATAAGTAATGTAGGCACATCGTATTTTTATATTTTTTTTGCCGTATGGCTTTTATCTTTTTACTTCGTCAACATTGTGTGTTGTTGATGGTTTGCTTCATCTTATTTTCATTTTGTATCGGCTCTAATTTTTTTACAAGCTTTTATTTAACTCACTTTCTGTCTGTCTGTTTAGATCGAAACGGCCGAGCAAAATTGCAGGCACTTCTAACTGACAGATACGGTTCGTAATTGGTACGTGGGTCAAGACATGAAGACAATGTATCGTGACATTAAATTTGACTTAATTGGTCGCCTGATTAATTTTTTATGAATTAATTAAAATTTGACCAAATTAGTAAGCAGTTCTTTCCGAAGAGCCTGGTACGTCGGACTCCCAAGTCCCCTACATAATAGCCTGGGGGAGGAGAGGTGCAAGACTGCCGGGAACCAAGAAAGGTTTGCTCTCGACCCTAACCAGATATCTTGTCTTTAAGCTGCGGCCTTCACGTGGCTTCGGAAGAGTGCCACTAGTCGGACCAAGCCCATGACCCCCCCCCCCCTAATGGGTGCGGAATAGCTAGTGGTAGCCAACAGCAGCTAGAGGTTTTTGATCTGGCCGAGTAGAACTGCTGTATGCGCTAAGTTCAAAGAATGGCCGAACGCCCCCCACGATCAAGCTGGGTACCAGGCGGTAGGACGACGTCCCGCGTCAGGTGGGTGGGGAAGGAAAGCCCGGTGAGAGCCGACGGAAGTAGCGACCGATGTGTGGGAAACTCTTGTGGTCGGAGTTTGCTACACTGAGGCCTGCCTAGCTAATGGAAGTCAACCTTCTGAGCCGTTTTCCGTATAAGGAAGGAAGGAAGGAAGTAAGCAGTTCTATCCACACGCGTCATCACTGCAAAAGCGCGTCATCAAGTTCAATAGCTGCGTTTTGGTTTTTAGTCATGTAACTCTAAATAAAAACATGTAAAGTACTAAAACATTTCATAAAAACGTTTTAATAACAAGCTTTTATTTATTATTATTACTCGTTATTTTTTGTTTTTCTGTGAGCTGGTCACATTAATAAACTAAGTGAGAAGCACCAACTGTCGAAATTTAGTCCTACACACCAAACTGACGCAGCTTTTTTAATGAGGTTTCCACCAGCACGTTACCAATCGTCTATTTATTTTAGACGTTTGCCTTGTTTTCTAGAACAGTGGTATTTAAATGTAAACCATGTCGGCACTTTATTGCTTTGATCTTAGTTGTTGAGGCGCTAGTTTGTCCACACAACCACCGAGACGCCCCAGTTTAGTTGTTAGGGCGCTAATTTGTCCACACTACCATTGAGACACCCCAACTTAGTGATGGGGCGCTAGTTTGTCCACACTACCACAAACACGCCCCGGTTCACGCTGATAGTGAAAGAGGCGTCGCGCGGCTCTTGGGACACGGCCCCTGGCGGAGGCCCCTAAGGTGATTCAAGTAGTACACCTATCACCCTGTGCATGACACTCAATAAGCGGACCAAAGGTGTCAAGGGGATTTCCGTGGGAAGCCGTCACTCCAATATTTAAACAAATGTTAGACCTATCACATAGTCCATCGCGGGAGTGTACTCAAAGACTTTCCAAATTTTCATTACAATAGCATGAAGGGTATGGTAATGCATAAAAGACGCACACACAATGTTCTCACGTACAAATGTAAGTACCCAGTTCACTCGGAGGGAAACTTTCTGATTTAGGGGACATCCATAAATCACGTCATCCTTTTTTAACGACGCGCAAAAGGCCAGACCCTCACCTCACAGTATTAATTTATTATAAATGTTCAATTAATTCATTTACTAATAATATAAAAATAGTCTTACCTTATTTTATGAATAAGATTCATCAAATTAATTAATAGTATGCTACTAAAGTAATATCCGTATAACTAGTGTCTGATAAAATGTGAGCGTGTGATAGTGTCTATAGATTACTATAGAATAAAGATAATCCAACCGCAGCTACAGTATTCTCTTTACAAAACAACCATCCAGTCAAAAATTACATTTTTTAATTATGAAAAAATTAATTATGGTCGGCTGTGGGCCCCTAAACGGTCTACCCCCTCCCCTCCCCACCCCGCAAGGTGGGGTCTGGTGGCATTGTAGCTCCGCCCCTGTCCTGGACAAATGGTATCCGATTTGGTGGAACACTGATGAATCATTTTACTAAATTAAATTCACTAAATAGTCATATTTGTAATTTGATATTCAATGAAATTAGACCTACGAATAGGCTTATAATTACCGCTTCTATTAAAGACTAGAAATCAAGTAAAAACTACGGGAATACTTTTAAACAATTGTATCTTAGCTTTTGTTTATTTTAACTATTGGAGACATACATTAATACTTTCTAAAACTAGTCTAGATCTAGATTCTAGATCTAGACTTTGTCTAGAATATTTTAAAATTAAAATAGCTCTATTACAGTTGTTTACCTATTTTTCGGTTGTTAGTCGAATACTAGATGTTAGGCTACACAAACGTAACGTAGGCTAGTTTAATTATTACATTTTTACATCATAAAAAAAATAGATCTAAAAATCTAACAATCAAACTGCACCACGTATGCATATCGTGTTGATATGTGTTTTCAATTAGATCTAGATCTAGATATCTAGAACTAGATTCTAGGTCTCAATGCCTATTTTAGATCTAGATCTAGAAGCCCGTGTTGAAACGAAAGGTTAGTTTTAACTTAGTTTTAAGTTAGGCCCAACTCGGCAACTTATTTTTATATTTTATTTAATCTTTTCGCGTCCTCCTTTTCCAAGAAATTTGACTTGTAATCATGTGTATTGAGTGGGCCTATTGTAATGTAAAGTAGAGATTTTGTACACACACTTTGTTCCCCCCATGGCCCATTTTACTTCCTTTTTGAACTTTTGAGTTCACAATTTACTAGGCCTACACTATAGGACATAGGTTAACTTTTATTTTTTAACTAGCCTAATATTTAAATTTATTTTTAGATCTAGTCTAGATCTAGATCTAGTAATATTTACTTTTTATTTAGGTCTAGAATCACTAGATCCAGAGAATCTAGAGTTAGCCTTAGGCCTTACCCTTAGGTCTTCTTTTAGGATTCAGTCAGTTCAGTAGCCAGTAGTATTAGGGTGTGGGGAAATTGCGAGACGCGAAAAGCGAAATGGCGAGGCGGGAAAATGCGAGAAGGGCGCGAAAACGGTCAGTCACGTGACTTTTTTTCTCGCATTTTACCACAACCCGATACTTACGCTGGGTGGTGTTGAAAGCGAAGATTTCTGCGAAAAATTTACCGCACCCGATTTTCAGTGGTATTTGGTCCAGACGTCAAAGACGTTTCGTTTACATTGTTAAAACTTCCGATTTTTCCGTCGCTAGACATACTGATGATTTGTCAACTCCCCCCTCCCCCCATCTTTTGTGTCGACTTAGAATACCACCTTGTTCGAAACCGACGGAAATACCGCCGACGATAGATCAACTTCTTTCTTTTATGTGGAACGCCGAAGCCGCCTGATTTACACTAAAAAAGCTATGTTAGAAAAAGAATTTTAGACGTTTTTCGCGTTTTAGAAAACTGTTTTCATAAATTGTAATAGGAATTGATTAAAATACTCTATTTTGACAGAAATTAGACAAGATTTTAGGAAAATATCAATGTTTTAAAAAAAATTCAACTGCAATTTTGAGGGGGGTTGTAGACTGAGGTGTGACGTCATTTTACTAGGAAGGGGGGGGGTCTGGATTTTTGTGAAAATGTGTGACGGAGGGGAGGGGGTAAAAATCGTCAAAAAAGCGTGACGTCATTTATGAATGACCTCTTTTAGCTTTTAAATGGTAGTTTTGTCGATAGCGGACTTTATTCAGATTATCTACAGACGCACATTTTTTTTCCCATTGTGTTCATATTCGTGTTCTGTGTTAGCACAGTATAAATGGGAGTCTAATGAACTGGTGGGTGGGATGTACTATGTGTGAAAGATGGTGTGATGAGGTGTGTTTGATTAATGCTAGGACTGTTTCAGAAGATTTTGTTTGTAAATTTTGTTTGTAATTAAAATTACTTAATAAAAAAATAAATTAGGCCTACACTTTTTAGAATTGTTTATACTTTTACACTTGCAGAAAATCTCTCATGCTGACAAAATTATACCAATTCACAATGTATAAACATGAGCGGGCTAGATTTTTAAAATTAATGCCGACTGAAACGGGATTTTCCTCTCGCTAACGAGAGCGGGCGATGACAGTAGCACAGCAACGATGTTAGGATTTTTTAATAGATCTAGATATAGATCTATCTATCTTCTTAGTATCTATCTATCTATATATATATATATAATAAAATCTAGATAAAAAATAACAACATACAACACTCGTGTTAAAGGGTATGGCTACATGCTAGTTTATTTTAAAACAAAAAAAAATAATTTAAATAAATAAAGATGAAATAAGCATGAAAAAAAACGTTTTGTCGCAAAAAGTTTCTCGCTATTTACCCTTGATTCCGCAGGTATGTCTCGCATGATCTTCTCGCATTTTCCCGCCTCGCCGTTTCGCTTTTCGCGTCTCGCAATTTCCCCACACCCGTAGTATTATTAAGTATTACTAGATCTAGACATCTAGCACAGAGTTTCTTCCAGGCATCTCTTCGGGGGGGGGGGGGGGGGGGTTGGAATCTAGATCTAGACTAGTTTTAGAAAGTATTAATGTATGTCTCCAATAGTTAAAATAAACAAAAGCTAAGATTAGCGAGTTGCGCAGCTTGCGCCGTGACCTTTGTTGCCATGGTAATCATGGCTGTACCTTGAACCTAAATTCCATGTTTCCGGTTGACCATTGCTAATTAAGGCCGTGTCGCTTAAGGCGCTACCACAGCACACCTGATCTACGCATGACACAGTGCGCATCTTTGTTTTATCCTCAAGAGGATTTAGATTCAAAACCTATTTTAATTTTTGGATCTCGTTTATTATCTTACAGAGGAGCAATGTGCTGAAATATAAGGTAAGAGTCTATAAATAATAAAGTACTTAATATTTAGAAATAGATGCCTAAATGTTGAAAATAGTAATAATTGGGTATTGTAAAATTAACCTATATTTTCAAATTACGATTTCAATGGTCCGCAAGCCTAGGAAGGCTGGCCGCGAGAGAGCCTTAATTTCGCGCCAAATTTCCTGTGATTCTTACATTATTAAAATATCGCATTACTTGATATCTATGATATTAGTATTAGCCTACTAATATTAGGCCCTAATAATTTAGAATTTAGATTAAGTAGCCTACATTTACTAAATTATTACGGTTGATTAGGACAATTAGGTCTAGACTCTACATTAATTTAATTTTAAGATTTTTACACAAGTAGACTTAAATTTTGATGTAGATTTCTAGATCTAGACTCGGAAAATAGATCTAGAAACTCTTGTAACTCTAATCTAGGGTTATGACTCAAATAGGCCTGGATCTAGATCTAGATGATATTATTAATAAGATAGCCTAATAAATTCTGGATTTAGAAAAACGAATCCAGATTACTAGATCTAGCTCTATTGATCTATAGTAACTCTAGATCAAGATCAGACTAGATTTAGAATTTAGATCTAGTAAAAAAAAATCTAGCTTTAGTTAGGCCTAGATCTAGTTTAATTCTAGATCTAGAATCTAGATCTAATTTAATCTAATAGGGCCAACATTAATTTAGATCTAGAATCTAGATAAGTTAAATTAATTTATAGCCTAAGTGTTCATCTAATTATGCATTAAGTACTAAGTTAAGTAATATAAGACATAAGTAGGCCTAGGCCTATACCATTTCAGTAATTACTAATTAGCCTATTTATTTTAATGCAGTACATTTAGATGAACATAATCATTTAATCATTATGTTTGATTAGGACTCGACATTAATTTTTTAGTTATATTTTTACACGTTTTCAGTTACAGTAATGTTTTTATTTTTGCCGAAACTATTCTTAGATTCCATTTCATACAAGTACTAGTCTAGATCTAGAACTTATAAAAATAGTGAGACATTGTTAAATGGTTAAGAATAGATTTAGACTAGTTCAGGTATAATTCTCCATCAATTAGGCCTATATATTTAAATATAGGACCTAGGCCTATGTATATATCTATAACTAGGCCTATATAATAATATAATTTTATAAAGCCCTATGCCCTTAGACCTCTTTATTAAGGACAATTTTAGTACTTGATAATTTTATTAATATTAATTTATTTCTAGACTTGTGTGCCTACAACTTGGGTTAATTTGTTTTCTTTGTACATCTTATTTACTTATAGGCAAGACCAACAATATGTAAAGAGGATTGCTAATGCAATCAGAAACTTGATGGCTGAGATAAAGCGGCTGAGGAGAAAAGAGGCTCGTGACTGGAATAGGTTGGTGGAACTTGTGTACAGCCTTTTCTATGTTCAACAAATGTCTCAGGTGGAAGTACATTTAGTAAGTATGGAGACTGAATTTATTTCCAATTTTTATATTTATTTTATTTACTTTGCAATATGTTGTGCTAGATATATATTTTGTGAAATGGTCTGCTAAATTCTAATTCCATTTGCCCTTCTCTTTTCAGGTAGTTTTCATGGAGATCCAGCTTTATTTAAGGCTCATCTTAAAGAGAATGATGTGGCTGCTGGGACATAACTAAAATCTACATTCAACTGCTTGCAGATCTCAAGAAGCCTGGGGTTCCATTGCAGCTAATTTCTGGTCCTTCGATAAAGCTCAGTTACAAGAACGCAATGTGGCGATCAAATGTACTCTGTTTCTTAAAGTCATGGAAGCGTTGTTGACTTCTACTGAGCCTTTCTTGGTGCGACAGCTGGAGAGGTATCTGATGGGAAATCTGATTGGTGTCCAGCTGACTCATAAGTGGGAGCAAGGTGATCAGGGTGTGTCGCAATACATTGGAAGGACTATTAAAAGGGGGCCAGCAACAAAATAAAAGTCTGCTCTTTACACCATAAGCTACTGGGCAGAGGATGAGGATAATGCTGATTATTTCAGTCATCTGGCAGAATCACTGGTTGTTGACTTTATAGGAATCTTGTTTTTCTTTCTGAATAATAGCTAATCAGAATTTCAGAGTACTTCTTTCTTTTTTAGTATACAAATGAACTTTATTTTTTAAACATTAGTGTTTTTGTAAATTGTTACTGAAAAAATGATTGCTGTGAATTGTAAACTTATTTTGAAAACTAATACTAACAATGTTTATAATTAAGTTTAGTTTTCATCGTGTAAAAAAAATTACATTTTAATTAATTACTTAACTTATTTTCCAGGGTAATTGAAATCAGCTAGATAATCCTAGAATCAGTAGTTAATGTGCTTCAAAAATGTTGGTCCAAACTAATTTATCACACAAGTACTAACGCTTTTTAAAATATATTTTTTTTTTCCTCAGATGTGCTAATTGTATCTAAAGATTAATTATAATTGATACTTTAGAAAATTGTTTTAACACTAAAGAGACTAAAGTGGTCCTAGAAATTTTTCGACACCTATTTTTTTTCCAACATACATTCAATGAATGATTAGATTTACTAGTAATTATACCTTAAAACCAATATTTTAATGTTTATTCCTTGATAATTAATACTACTTTTCTTCTTAAGAGGGATCGTAATGAGACGAGGTTGATTTCTTGTACTGTAGATTTGTTTCTTCACACTAATTATGATTATGTAACTGTTTTACAGTACTGTGATGGTCGTAGATTATACAAGGGCTAAATTTAGGTGGTCACTATGTAGTTGATTTCTTTGCTCTGATAAACATATTTTTTAATTATTGCAAAAAATCTTTTTTTTTACTTTACCATTCTCCTAAATGTTTCTATTTTATTAGACAAAATTAAAATTCATGTGGTAATCTGATTACTGTATTTTAATACTGTGTTTTCTAATAATTTACATTGCATAGTTTAGTAGTAATAAACACTGGTACACACTTTGACAGCTGTTTTCTTTTTATTTTATTCTATACTATAATTTTATTAAGGCCTCCTGATATAGACACTGAATATCAAGTAAGTGTGGGGGGGGGGGGGGGGGGGGCTGAGAAAGTAACGTAAAGGCAACCAGTTGCTACTTCCATTTATCATGTAGTGTGTATGTAGGTCTTCTCTACTTCATCTACCCAAGTAATATCGTTCATTACAATTAGATATAAAGAACTTGTGCAGTAATATGTGCTTATGCATTTCTATTATATAATAGTAGTAACAGTATTAAATATTAATAAATCGATTTACAATAACTAGATCTAGTTTAGTTTAAACCTAGATCTACATTTTTTTTTTACACGGAGTAATAAGTCAATAATAATATATGAATGGTATTAAATTACTCATTCAAATCACATCCAGTCCAGTATAACTTAGACTTTAAGCTTGATTATAATTTTTTAGTTTTTAAAAAAATGCGAATCCCGGATGATGCAATAAAATTATAATTTTTTAATTTTTCGAAAAATGCGAATCCGTGATGATGCAATGAAAAAACCATCGGTGCCAACTTTTTTGCTTATATAACATTGACTTGAATGACGAAGGTCTAAGCTGTTTTAGCCACGCCCACAAATTTTTAAAAGGCCATATCTTAGCTCCTAATTAAGCTAGAGACACAAAATTGGTATCAATGTGTAGGGAAAAAAATCTTGTTTTTTTGTGGTATAATTTTACTTGAAATTAGTGGAGTTTAAAAATTACGAGCAACAGCCTAGCTAAGATACAATTGTTTAAAAGTATTCCCGTAGTTTTTACTTGATTTCTAGTCTTTAATAGAAGCGGTAATTATAAGCCTATTCGTAGGTCTAATTTCATTGAATATCAAATTACAAATATGACTATTTAGTGAATTTAATTTAGTAAAATGATTCATCAGTGTTCCACCAAATCGGATACCATTTGTCCAGGACAGGGGCGGAGCTACAATGCCACCAGACCCCACCTTGCGGGGTGGGGAGGGGAGGGGGTAGACCGTTTAGGGGCCCACAGCCGACCATAATTAATTTTTTCATAATTAGAAAAATTTTTACCGCCCCCCCCCCGAACGAAATGAAATTTATATAATTTATATAGAAAATATATACTTTTAACAGTGTCCGCCCCCTCGAAGAAAGTTTACCGCCCCCCCCCCGAAGATTTCAAGTGCCCCCCCCGGAGATAAAAGTCTGGAAGAAACACTGATCTAGTAGGCTATTTATTAAAGTATTAGTAGACTCTATTACAGTATTAGTTAGGACTTAGCCTTATGCCCAGGGCCTATTAATAAAGAAGTGACTACTCAGAAAAAGATGTTTCGCCCCAGCGTCTCCACCTGGTTGGCAAAAGATAGTTATGCGCAGTGACATAGGGTTAGGGCTAGGGCGCTGCAGTTGTAAACACACGCATGCGCAGTACCATCGGAAACATCACCATTAAACGCAAGTCGTAGTTTTTCTCCGTTGCGCATGCGTATCTTTTTCCGGCTAGAATCGGCCTATTAATAATTAAGTAGTAAATCAAATAGGCCTAGGCCTACTTAATATTTTGTTTAGCCATGTTTACGGTTTAGGCCGCCATGTGTTTAATAAGGAGTTTAGAGTTTACTATAGTAAATACTAAAAAATTTATAATAGCCCATGTGATATCAGCAAATTATATTTCATTTAAGTAATTTTAATCTTCACATTATATCTAGGCTTATTTGTTTATGATTAAACTTGTATTTGCTTAACTTTAAGCAAATGAGAATTTATCAAGTAATTATTCATATTATTGTATAGACTATAGAGGGATCCAGACTTCAAATAATGTAGTTACATTTCCTAATCAACCCTAACAATCTATTAAATAATACTAGTTGATTAATTAACTGACTTTATCCATGGTTTTTCATTTCTATTATTACGTGTTTTTCTATTTAGGTATTTAAATGAGAAAATATGATAGAACCAGATTTAACAAGTATACCTCTTCCTATGGAAACAACAGATATTAAAAATGTAGAAATCAAGAAGACTGCCAAAGAGATGCTGCAAGAAGCTCTCAAAGATCACAAATCTGCAGGAGAAAGTAGTTCGGATCCAAAAAAAGTAAAATCATTCACGTCAATTGAAGCCAGAACACATAATGAAAATGATGGGTCATCATCTCAAAGCATTGTTGACGAGCTGTTCAAAGACTTCATATCTAAGAAAATTGGTGGTGGTTCAAATAAAGACGGAACGGAAAGAAAACGTAATACAAACAACAAAGGTTCAGTTGATGATGAAATCAGTAAACTTCTTGACATGGAAATCAGCTCAATCAAATGTAATACTCGGGATCCCAGCCAGGTTCCAGAGAAGCATCCGTCCCCAGACATAAACTCTAGTTTAAATGAAAAGGAAAGTCTTGAAGACAACGTATCCCCACTGAAGGCAGCTGATGTTTTTGAGAAAACTAGTAATAAGGAATCAACAACAAAGTCTGCATCTCTAACAAATGTAAGCCAGTCGTCCCCAGCAGCATCTGAAATGTCCAAAACTCTTGCGATGGTGCCTCATTCAGTGACCAAAAGAATTGGAGCACCTAAACAGTTAATGATGAAGCTGAGTTCAGAGAGCCTCACTCTCATCAAATCAACAGACAGAATTGATAGAAATGGCAAACTTAGAGAAGAAGGTAACTTTTAGGCTATAAATCTGAAGTTTTCTTAATTACAAAATTAAGGGAAAATATTAAAATATGTTGATATTAATTTTAAAAATTTATAGATTTACATGTTTGGGCATATACAGCAGCTTTAATTTTTAAACAATACAACAGTTTCCTGATAATTTAAAAAAAACAGTCAAAACACTTTGCACAATGTATCAAAAATTCTGATGTGTTTATTTGAGTACAGGTGAGGTGTATTCCTCTCACAGTGACAAGTCTGACAGGTCTGAGTCTGACCTGGATGACTTGCCATCAGAGACAGGATCCATCAGCTCAGACACAACAGGCATCCACTCACACAGAAGTAAGAAGAAATCCAAGCACAAGAAAAAGAAGAAAAAGTCATCCAAGTCTAGAGACAAAGAGCACAGACACAAACATAAAAAGTCAAAGGACGGGGACTCTGGCCGCAGTGATGATGATGGTGACAAGCGAAGTGATAAGGCAGGTTATGGCTCTGATTCTAAAAAAGAAAAATATTCTAGGAGCAGGTCTTCTGAAAAGAAAGAATATGAATCAGATGGCAAGCGGAAGCACTCTCGTTCACGGTAAGTTTAACTCAATTATGCTAAAGTTACTCCAGGAATTGTAAGTTGCCTACAGGGGATAGCTAATTAACTTTAAGAATTGATTTATGTTTGTTATTCCAACAAAAACTAAACGAGTCATAATATGTTGCATTTTCATTGAGTAAAATTACAAAACAAAAAAATATTATTGAACTCTCTCCAAATTTTGTTTTCATTTTTAAGAAATTAATATGAAATTTTTACAGCAATACCTAAAGTCAATGCTATTCACTGTCACACTGTTTACTTAGATCAAGATCACCAAAGAAAAGAAAGAAATCACGATCATATTCCAGGTCACCAAAACACCATGGATCATATGGAAGGTAAGATACATTTTTACAAAGTTTGTGTGTGTGGATCCAATTTTTTCCCACAATTATAATGTAGAGATTTTGTTTAGATAAATTAATTTCCAGTGACCTAGCAAAATATCTTATTTTCCATCTAGTCTTTAAAAATTACTATTACGGGATAATGTAGTCTGATCAGCCAAGTGGCTGAGGTGAGTTGTGTTCACTGATGTTTTCACTACTGATTGCCAACTGTGGACATTAATGAAGGGAAGGTAATTGTTGTTTCACTTAAGATCACGGGTTGCTGTTTGGTTTTAAAGCAACTATTTTTAGTCACGTAGGATGTTGATCTGTTCAAGAGAAACAGAATGGAAAGAATAAATATACTACACATTATTTTTAAAAACGTAAAACTAATTATTTTTTTATTTTTTTAAGTGCTTATTCATTAAAAATTTGAGAAAAAAGATAAATAATTTTTAAAATAACTTTTAAATGCACTAAAAATAACAGAACTAGGTCACTGTATACTTTTTTACTTTCTCGTATATACGAAGTATAGAGAAAGTATTGTAATCGTGTAAAAAAAAAATCGAGATTTTACAAAATCGAGATTTTACACCTCACTGATACGGAAAAACATAATTTTGCAATCTTGTATGTCTGTGTGTAATCACGATAACTTGAGTACCGTTAGAGCTAGGTTGATGAAATTTCATATATACATATTTTATCAAAATCGTAGATCCTGATCAACTTTTGAGCAATTTCCGATAACCGGAAGTGGTACTTTTTTTACTTTGAATTTTCAAAAGCCTATAACTTGAGTAGGCTACTATTTCAGATAGATAAATGAAATTTCACATGTAAGTAAAAGATCTAATTCTCTACTTTCTGTCAAATCTTGAGTAATTTCCGTTGACCGGAAGTAGTAATTTACGCTACTTCCGATTTGTCAAAAACGGATGTAAATTTATAAAGTACTAATAATATTGCGCACTATTATGCACATTTTGTTTTGGCGTTTGCTTGGTGTGCAATTCTTTTTTCTATGAGATTCTATTCTATTTTTAAAAGTTTAAGTAATTAAAAATCATGTCTATATTCCAAGTCATATAAGAATATTCGAGAAAGTTTAGGGAAGATCACTCCCGGTTTATTTGTAAATCAAATCAGTTTTTTTTTTATATATTTTAGTGCATTTAAAAGTTTGTCACTATAAAGGTTTTTATATTTCTTTTATTTTCCTAATACACAAGTTTTACACATGATAGATATTTTCAGCATTTTTATGGTTTCTTTTGTTATAAATTTAAAGAAAACATTTTGGTGAATGGGACGCCAGGCATTATGGTGATAGAAAATCTCCCGGAAGAGATAGATCAAGGTCTCCCAACAAAAGAAGATCCAGGAGCCGTGAGAGAGAGAGAAGTCATGAAAGGAATGAAAGAGATTTACGGTTACAAATTGATAAAGCTAAGTTGCGGAAAATTGCCATGTATGTAATTTTTAAAAATATATTTTCATTTATCCTTCCATTAGTAAAGGTATCTCTATTTTGTCGCTAAGATTGTTGTATTGACTAAACATGATTTCATAAGTATGTATATTTAAAACAACGTAATTGCAAATAATTCTATAATTCTATGATTGATTGCAAGGTAATTCCTTATCAAACATTGCTTTCTCTGCCTGCTTAGATTACAGGAGTGGATTTAGGGTTGACACCAAGCTTAATAACTTAATCAACAAATATGAACTTTTACATGACCCTTCCAGTAATCAAAGAAATAACAGTAGTTTCAGAATGTTCATAGCTTGTACTTGCTTCTATTTTTAGCAGATTTCCTCTGAGAGTGAATAGTTAACAACTCCCATTTTTTAATTCAACAGAGCTAATGCGCTACAAAATATGAGGTCTGGTCAGGGTCCTCGAGTAGACCTTACAGCTGTCAAAAGTGGGGGGAAGTCAGTTGAGGAGTTGACAGGTATAATTTTTTAAACTGTTGTCAACTACACAGCTAGGTCATTGTGCGACTATTGATGTGCCTGTTGAGGCTTTCATCTTAAGATATTAAGTTATCTAGCTAGACAAAAGACCAAAGAGGCAACTAACAAAAGATTTCATAACAATAAATAAATTTAATTAATTAGGAGACCAACAAATAATTACTATTGGTAAAATATAAGTAATATTGTTATGTTAATAAAAACATTGTACTGTCTCAACACACACATACAACTTGTCTGTTAACTTAGCACACACTTTTCCCATGAATACATGTCATTCCTTTGTCTCCTGTATACACACACACTCAATATCAAAGTGTGATTTGAAGTTGAGGGGACACATCATTGGACAATTGTTCACTGGGTGGGGGGGGGGGGGTGTTAGTAGTTTATAAACATTAACTTTTATTGATAATTTCTTATTTGAAATATTTACTTCTCAAATAGCCAATTGATTTTTTTGTGTATTTTGTTCAGAGTTCTGTAAAAAGATATCAGCCAAAGGCAAAGACAAGCCAGAGGTTGAACTCAGTGACAGCAGCGATGATAATTTGATGCCGTCAACTGAAGAAGATGATCAGCTGATACATCATCCTTTTAAAGTCAGGGAATTGAACACTGCCAGCATCAAAATGAACATTCGAGTATGTAGCTGTGTCGTCACATTCCTCCCATCAAAGCCTTTACAATATACAATGGACCATCTTGTTTTAATAACCTTTAACTAAAAATCTGGTATACCATAAAGTTGACTATGTCAGTTCTATTTTTTTTTAGATTCTTGCTTTAATTTATTTTAAAGTACTAGCGGAAAAAAGCTGCTCACTTGTATGAACGCATGTGTTACATAAGCTGCTTTTGTTTTGTTCCCAGAATGCTAAGATAAGCTGCTTTGTTTTGTTCCCAGAATGCTAAGATAAGCTGCTTTGTTTTGTTCCCAGAATGCTAAGATAAGCAGCTTTGTTTCGTTCCCAGAATGCTAAGCAGCTGCCCGTGCTGACACCTGTTGAGAAACAAGCCCAGCAGGCAGCTCTCAGACTAACATTCCCAGTTTCCAGTGGGTCGCACCACAGAGCCAGTGAGTCAGAGTGGGTTCCAGTGGTGAAGCCAACTCCACCTGCACCACCAGCAACAGCCCCTGCATCCAGCCAGGTAAAAATAACATTTCACCCACAGGCTTGTATACACTGCATATTGCAAGACTGCTTTCATAGCAGGGTAATCCCTATCCTAGGCACAGAGATGAATAGACTCACAGATAGTTAGCAGCATTTCAAGATTGGAACACAAAATTGTTGCTTTGTACCTTATTCACTGTCACTACACCTTTAGTAAATTAGTGTTGGTCATCTATTTCTGTAGCCTGCATAAAGTACAATACCTTGCAATTTTCACAAATTTAAGTATGGTACCCAGTGTGTTAATTATCAACAATGTATGAACATAACAATGTATATAAAACAAACACAGTCGATGGCTGTGGCTCAGTTTTTTATTTCGGCTGCATTGCTTCAAAAAAAAATATTTGTACAACAAAAGTTTGGTTATACTACTTACCAAACATAATGAAAAAACTAGAGTAACTAACCTATTTATTGTTATAATAATAATAATAATTATAACCAAATAATAAAATAATATAACAGATTTTTTTTTTGTGATGACAATGTATTTTATAAAATGCAAACACTTTCACTTTCAACTTTCCCCAAAATCTATTTTTAGAATCATAATCCCGCACTAAAAAGATATTTGCGCAGTTTTATTCAGTACGCCGCTAATTAAATTTAATAAGACGGTATACCAGCCCCTAAGACTATGACACTAGATCATCAGGCCGGAAAACCGGCTTTTTGGACACGTATGCCAAATCTTGAAGCCGGTTTTCCAGCCTGTGGGGCTCAAAGGATTAAAACACAAATTTCTTATAATAATAAACTTAATATTAAAACACAAATTACTTATAATAATTGCAGTATCTAACTGACAAGTGACATAGAAACCAATAATTTCTCTATGTGAAATGTTTGTCCACAGAGTCCAGCAGCCCCCCCTCCACCACCTGCGGAACCTCCCAAACCTGAAAGTATATTTCCTAACCCTGTTGAGGCACAGGTAAATCTTTTATCAACATAAAGTAATTTTTTTTTTAATTACTGGCTTGCTGATTTAAAAAAATGTTAAATTGATTTAAAAAATAGCGTAACATCTCTGTTAAATGTTGTAAATGAATCTATTTCCCCCCAGAAAATTGATATAGGAACCATCATATCAGAGAGACTACAGGCAGTCAGAAAGTTGCAGGAGAATCCATATGATGTTCAGGCCTTAACAAAAATGCACAAAGTTCAAGAACAGGTAAGGAACCCAGTTGTTTTGTAGAAATATGCAGTGTGCTAGTTTAAATAAATCTTTTCAGTAGCAATTGTTTTTATGTTTTGCCTTCTTTTTCTTCAGTAGTAACATACCACGTCAATATTTGTCACTTTAATTAGACATCCTTTTTTTTTGAACCGTTGGAATAATACATTATTACTAGTGCCATTTTCTCTAGTATTGAGAATGTTAAAAAACTTTCATCATAATTGTGTATTTTACTTTTGCTAGGCCAGTATGTGGGCCACATCAAAACATTTGCCTGGGCAATTTACAGGAAGTACAGGCGCTCATGTTCTATCACAACAGGAACTCATTGGGGATAAAAGACATCAGGCATGGGCTAAAAAGGTTAAAAACAATCTATATAATATTTTTATTTTTAAATTGTTGATTCTGGTGGCTTCTTATAAATTTATGTTTGCACTAAAAATTTACAGAAGTGAAAATAATATGTTTAAACACTTATAATGATATGTTGTAATGTATACCGATACACTGCTATAAATTAATCACGACAGGTCTATAAAAAAAATTCCTATAAAAATAAATATGAGTTTTGTTTCTTCGAAATAAAAATATATAGGACATCGAAAAACAAAATTTCTGCTTTTCAAATTATAATTTCCTTTTTTTTCTTTTTCTTTCTTTTCAGTTGCTTTTTTCAATTTGCCGTCAAAATCAGACGGTCAAAATTAAAATAATCTTCTTCGTTTCCCTATATCATCAAATTTTTCTTTCGAAAGATCTGATGATATGCTGTTACATGACCTGAAAATAAGTCTTTGCTTTCCTGATTTTCTTTTTTACAGGTTGAAACTTCGGCAATGCGCAGCAAAAGACAGCCTGGGCCTTTTTACATGCCATCACACTAGTCAATTGTGCTGCAGGAGAGCAGCTCAAACTGGTTACATCTGAGTGTCATTTTTATAAAAAAAATTAACTCAGGATAACTCTGGTGGTTTTTTCCACCCTAGTGTGATGGTATGCAAAAAGCTCTTTTTCTTCAAAAGTTAGATATATCTAAAGCTTATATTGATTTTAAAAGATATTTTAAAATGAATATCTTCAATACCTAAAATTAAAATATTTAAAATAATTTTTTGTTTTAAATTTATCAAGCTTTATATATATCTAGAGCTTTTTAACTTTTGTTTTTAGGTTAATTTGGTATAAGGTGAAATATGTTTTAATTCTGTGTGATAAAATTTTTCTAAAGCTTTTCTCTCAACAAAATTTTGCAAGTCTTTTTGTCATTTAAACAAAACAAAAAAGAAATCTCATGTGTCAAAAACTAAATTTCTATACCTTAAAAGTTCATTAAATATCTTGGAGAAGGAACAATATTCTGCATCCAATTAGGTGTAAAGCAAAAAATTAAAATATTTGAAGAAAGTAATCATGCCAGATAAGATATATAAAAGGGTTGATGTTGAGCCATATATTGCAGAGGGCTTCAGAGCCCATTAATGCTGCCATGTCATATCGAGAATCAAGGCTTTTTTCCTCAAGCCTTGTTGTTGTTGGGTAAGTACCCACACTGTAATACACTCAGCTTTAGTTTAAGAAGTTAAATTCTATCAAATAGCAGACACCGTGATACATTATCTGCTGCAATAAGCTGAGTGTTTACATGGTGGGCGGGGCCAAGAACTCAGTTGTTGGGTGTAAATTTAAGTTTTATTTCAGGTCATGCTTTGCTCCAGCTTTTCAAAACTTCCTGTGAATTTTTTTTTTTTTTTAAATCTAACATTACTCAGAAATAAAACTTCAATATGAGTAGACAATACAAATTTAACAACTATGTATGTTTCTATGAATTGTTTACACCTGATGTCATCTGTGATTGAATGTGTTGGAGGATGATCTGTATTGGTTTGTGTTTTTACCAGACCCAGTTGACTCAGGCTGCTCCAGTCAATGGTGGAATTGGCATGTTCTTACTTCAGAAGATGGGCTGGAAGCAAGGGGAAGGTCTGGGCAAAAACAATGAAGGAAGCAAAGAACCTCTGATGCTTGATATCAAAATTGATCGGAAAGGTAGTTATCAATTTTTTTCTCTCCCCATAAATGTTTAGTTAAATAAGTTACTTTAGACTAGAGTAATGTTAACTAAATCTTTCTGTATACATAGATCATACTCAGGCACAAGCAGTAGTTTAAAATATTTTAAAACCATTACATAGTGTTTATGGGATGGCGTGGCCTAGCTGTAGAAAGCTAGACTGGTTCAAACTAGTGGAATGTCCCTGAGTCCATCCAGCTCTGATGGGTACCTAACTTACATTAGGGAAACAAAGGCGGCTGGGCATAGTGCTAAGTGCTGACCACACTATCCCTTCATATGCTGAGGTCTCTGAAGCAGATGAACTCTACTTCATCTGCCCTATGTGTCTTGGGCACGAACAGGAAATGATGATGATATAGTGTTTAAAATGACCACTGATGATAAAATTGAAAATGCTATCATAAGGTGACTTTTATACATGGAATAAAGTTACAGTGCAATGATAATTTATCTTAAAAACTATTTATCATCCAAAAGTTGTTTCACTATTTATTATTCATCTTATACAACTTACAGAGGATTATAGTTATCTCTTGAAAAAAAAATTATCATAATTAGCTGACATAGATTAAATACATTTTAAAAATATAATTTACCATCCTCTCCTATCAATCAACTAAAAAAACAAGTAATTTACCATCCCATTCCATTCAGTCAACTAAAATAACTGAAAAATATACTTCACCATACCCTTAGACAACTAAGATAACTGAAACATAATTTACCATCCCTTCCAGCATAATTTACCACCAACCACCCACCTCCTATAACCCACTGACATGACCTTTCCCCACAGGTCTAACAGCAGCAGCTGAGAGCAACAAAGTGAAGACTGTCACTGCTGGAGTACCAAGGGCTAAAGATTTATCAAGTAACTTCTTTTTTTAAACTTCTTTATTTAAGACATGCTTTTGTCTTAATATATTATTTGTTTAAATTGAGTATTTGCATAATTATATACTAATATAAGGTGTCTATAATATAGATTATAACTTATCTTTTTATGCTATGTTATTTTTAGCCTGTTAACAAATGTGATCAAGATAGTTATGTTGTAACCAAGTTTTGTTCTATTAATAGACAAACACCCTGTCTCTGCATTAATGGAGTTGTGCAATAGAAGGCGGTGGGGAGCTCCTGTGTTTACAGTTGTTGAAGAGAGTGGTCCAGATCATAAAAAGAGTTTCCTCTTTAAGGTGCTCATTTTCATACTGTTTACTCAGGATAGATTTTTTTTTTCCTATTGCTTATGTCATTTCTTGAGTATTTAAAATAGTCTTTAATGGGCACAACCCCATATAAACTTTCTAAAGTGGCACGACAAAATAATTCTTATGACTTTCAACTTTTGTTTATCAGTCATTAAAAACCTGAAAAAGTTTTACCTTCACTTTCACTGGTCAAGACGAGAATCAAATTTTAATATTAGCCTTTTTGGCAACAGAACCTGTTTAATAACTAATAACTTGTCGATAATAAAATTACTTGATTTTTAAAAAAAATAAAAAATATAAACATACTAAAAGAATAAGCTGGTACAAGTTAACCATATTAGACACAATATTGATGTTTCTGGTATTTTACTCCATCCTGTACTGCTTGTGTAGTAACCATGATCTCTCTCTTTTCCCCAGGTAAAAGTTAACAATGTAGAGTATCAACCCAGTGTATCAAGTACAAATAAAAAAACAGCCAAGGCACAGTGTGCTGCTGTTTGCCTGCAAGAAATGGGCCTTTTGCCCAGAGATGCACCACTTAACGTTTAGAATTTTATTTTTATTGCAGTTATTTATTTAGAGTAATGGTAGTTTATTTCTTTTTTATCATTTTATTTAGTTTCATTTGATTTTTGTTTGTTTTTTTAAAGTTATAATTTAAAAGCTTTCTTTTTTTTAAAACCACTTGTTTTTAATTTTAAAATATTGTTTAATTCTTTTAGTTTGTTTCTTTTTCTTTTTTATATAAACTAGTTTCTACTTTTTAATTTGCTTCATCTTTATCTTTCTGTTAATGACAAGATCTCTTATAAGACTACAGCATTTTAAAAAGCTTTTGCGCTTCTTGTACTATCTTGTATGAAGGTGGAAATAATGCACACTTAAATTTTACTCATCAAATTACTTTAACATCTGCAGCAAAATTATAATTTATTTACAAATAATATATTTTAAATAAGTATTTATTACCATTAATTTATATTTCAATGAACAAATTTGCAGAAGAGGGAAATAAACATGTGATTGTTAATTCAGAAAAGCTTAACTATTATTCCTCTAGATGTTCTCCATCACTAGCATCTTTCCAGTGTCACTTGATTTTGTAATGCAACTGACAGTCAAAATTGTTTTTGCAATCTTTAAACATTATTTAACCAATGTTTTAACATAGAACATTCAGTTTGAATTTTATGCATCAGGGTGTTTTATTTTTTTGTCAGATGTGAAACTTATCTGTAATTTCCCTCTTCCCCCCCCCCCCCCCCCCCAACAAAGAAACACCACTTCACATGTAGGTGGAAGTCATTAATAAGATGGTTGTTTTGATTGTCTTAATTAACTGATAATTATGTAAATCATTTATTGGTAAAGCTACATAACTTGGAATGTAAAGTTGTTGATAAGCATTGTTTTACCTCAATGCTTTAGTATTAATATATTGTCTAAAGTAACTGGCTAATGGTACATATCAATTTTTTTAAGGATATGTTGATTAGTTAATTATAACAATTTTAATAAGCTTATCAATACTAAACAACATGGAAAATGATTTACATTGTGTTAACTGTACTTGTGATTTAGATTTACAGTAGTTTATCAGCTTACCAATACCTGATACATTTTCAGGCTCATTTTTATACAAAATTATTACTTTTTTTTTTTTTAGTTAAGTAAAATAAAACAAAAAATTTATACATTTTTTAAACCTACATCTAATTAGTTGAGAGCACATACATTGTGTAAACCTGCAACTAATTAGTTGAGATTGAGTGCACTGATGGTTAGCAATGAAATTTTCTAACATTTATTTGTAAATGATAAAGCTGTTATTGTAAACATGAGCAAAATAATTGTACGAATTGTTGCACATGTTTATGCAAATTGTAATAAACTCATGCTTTTATTGTGTGGTTTTTTTGTTGCTCCTTTTTAATACTTTTTTACTGCATTTTAATAGTGACTTTCATCAGTACATTACCAGTCTAATTATTTAGAATCAATACACATCAAAATGAGTTGACAAAAATCTTTATCATTGTTGTTGATGTGGAAAAAAATTGTGTTTTTGTCAATTTTACCTTTACAGCTACTGTAAAAAAATAAATTTAATAAAGCTTAAAAAAATATATATAAAAATTAATATATTGAGAATCTATATAAAAGCTGAAAATGTTGAGAACTTGAAACTATGGTTTTTGTGTTTAAGGCTACTTTTCTATTCATTTTTAACCTGAAGTTCTACAATCATTGATTAGCTGTACGGAAACACTATGATAGATCTTCTGAAAACCCCCACATTGTAGTAATATGTGCTCAGAGCTTCGCCGATAAAACATTTTAATCAAATTATACTTTTTTAAACCACACTACCTAATTATGCCATGTTAATGTACGTTTTCAATGATAAAATGATAACAACCAAACTGTTTTTGGCTTTTTTTTTCTAGTTTCCGAAAATACCAAAGACATCAAATACATCCATATTTATTTTAATAAAATTGTACATGATTTTAAAAATATTTAATGGGCCTTTAGATTAATTTCAAAATCAATTTTGGTTGGTCCCCATTGGCTTACTGCTGTCTCATTACATTGTTCTTGAAGCAGACTACAGCTGTAAAAATTTTGTGTGAGTCCAGTTGTTTGCCCTACACAGGAGCAAAACTTTTTAGAAGTTTCATGTTATGAATGCAGTAGGCCTATTTATATTTAAGGAAAAATCCATCTTTGATTCAGTTATAAATGGAATGCATGTTTATTGTTTAAGAATCACCATGTAGGCCCTAGTTGAAAAAAAAAAATTCTTTTTTATGTTATTTTAAAATTAAATAGACCTTACTTATAATTTGCACAAGGGTATTCTAAAAGACAATATTTTTTAAAATTAAGTATTCTAAAAGTTACAAGTTTCTAATAACCTGAAAGCTTTAACCTGCACGACTTAAGATATGCATGCTATGATACCCCAAAAAAAATTGCTCTCTAATGCAGCATGCTGTCTTAATCTACGACTAATTAGGCCTACTTGTTACAAAACAACCGTTGACAGTCGACATGCATTAGGAATTAACCTATAAGGTTGCAGGGTGGGAAGGATCAAATGGAGAAAACCAATCATAAAGGGCTGGAATGACCTAAGAAATGATAATGTTATCTGCTAATCAAGTTGTGATTTTGCTCCTGTTATATACCCTTACCAAGGGAGCTAATTGTTAAAAAAAAAATTACAAAGCTTGTTACTTCCCTTGGTAATGTTTCGACATGAAAAAAAGTCTGGAAGAAACACTGATGTAATCATTTATTAGCCTGGTAATTAGCCAAAAATGCTCAAAATGCCGCCAAGCTCCTGGGGGGGGGGGGGGGTGTTGTCTGGATACTTTGACGATGAGTCACCGATGGGGTGGGAGGGGAAAGACAAGTATATTTCAGTTAATGATTGGTTGATATTTCTTATCTAAAATTTGAATCTTATCCAGATAAGCCCGCTACTAAAACAAAAAAGTGAACGGGCGAAAAGTTAAGCACCGCCACTTTTGATCAATTTCTGATGTCTAGAGTCTTAGACATTTGAATATTTAAACGCACGCCATAAAAACAACTTAGATCTAGATCTATACATAGATCTACGCCTCTAGGGACAGTGATTGGGTTAGGATTTGGGTTGTGTTAAATTTACCAAAATACAGACATTTTCATGCAAATTTTTAATGACGTCCCAATTTCACTCTCTTGAATAAATTCAGCTATTCTTCAAGTACACGTTTCATAAAATCTAGATCTACTGTTTTTATAATCTTTTTTTTTTGAGCGGCGAGGCTTAAATTGTTTTTGCGGAGCTTATCTTGACAAGATCCCTTAATTTAATTTAAACATCTTAAATCTTAAAGAATGTATAATCATGATTTTAGCACATATCTGCATATTTCTTTTATTAAAAACTAAAAAAAAAAAAAACACAATAGCCTAAACAAAAAAGATGCTTTTCTGAAAACATAAGAAAAAGACTTGTGTAGGAATTAGATGTAAATCTAGAATATATTCTAGATCTAGAGTCTAGATCCAGATCTAGAAATCTAGATTTTAGTCTATTTATAAAGTTTTTAAAAATTGCGAAAGTTTTTAGTAAACAAAAGACAATGACAATGGCAGGTTGGGTAGTGTCAACAGACAACGCGTTCCAAACACCAGTTTAGAGCTCATCACAGAAATAGCATTTTGAACAGACTTTGAAACGAAACAGATCTATAATCACAATAGAGTAGTATTTTTAAAAATTGCTGACAGCTAATATAGAGTCGGGCATTTCTATGAACAGAACTGTTAAGTTTTAGGCTAGTTAAAGCTTAGCTTCTATCTAGTCTACGTAACTTACTTAGATCTATCTAATTTTAAATAAATATTCAATAAAAAATGGCCGCTGTACTGTTGACCTATCTTGCCTGCCGTCAACACCAATTTATAGTTATACTGTAGAATCTTTAAAAAAAATATAATGTGAACAACTATTAGCCTATCTTTAAATAATATTTGTTATCATCAAAACACGTTTTGACATGCTGATGTAAGCCAAATAAAATGTCTTTTTTTAGTTAGGCTAGATCGACTAGATTCTAGATGATTTTTTCGTTGTTTTTTTTTTCCTGTCTTCCTAGAATCTAGATTATCTAGATTCTAGATGGATCTATTCTAGTTTCTTTTATTCTAAAGTAACTATCGAACTCAACTGAGTTCATTTGTGTCAACAGTTCATTGTTCTAAAAATTAATCAAGATTCTATGTTATTGTTTTGTATTTTTTTCTATGTGTAGGGTAGGCCTACTAATTTCTCATTTTAAAAATTATACTCCAAGGGAGGGAATAACTTTCAAAATTGTAAAGCTCTAGCCTAAATTCAAGCATCTACCATGTGTGCTGAGAGGGGCCTGATCAGTGATAATTATTATTGTTGTGAATAAAACACATTTTTTTTTACATTCTTTATCAGTAGTCTTACATTTTAAAAGAATGCTAAAATAAAAGCTTAAAAAAAAAAAAAACTTGAAATAAGTTGAAAATAGGGCCAATAAAAATTAATTTAATATCTAGATGCTATAAATTATTTTTCTCTCTAGAGTTCTAGAGGCCTATGCAGAAATAAAAAAATCTTTGCTTTGTTTGAAACTACATTTCTTTTGACATAGAGATCAAGACACTACCATCAGAGGCGTAGCGATGGGGGGGCAGGGGGGTACATATGTCCCCGGGCGCCGACCTTAAGGGGCGCCAAAATGGGTTGTAAAAACAAATTAAAATGTCATTTTAGTTGCATTTTTGCATTATAAACAGTTTGAGGGGGGGTGTAAATCGAATGTTTGAGGGGGGGGGGGGGAGGGCGCCAAATTGAAAGTTTGTCCCCGGGCGCCGGGAAGGGTCGCTACGCCTCTTACTACCATTCTAACATGTTACAACATTGATATCAAATCACACTTTTAAGAGAAACTTTGACTATCTTTGTCATACATCTGTAAACCCTAGACCTACATCTCTTCCAATAAATATTTATTTATAATATTGAACATCAGCATGACCAAGTTAAGGCTATTTTGTTTACACTTAAATCTAAACAACATTATCATGTGCTATGGTCCAAGGGGCAAGAAAAGTAGAGTTCACCTGTTTCTGTGTAACATCCAAATCTTTATACTGTACCTTTTTTTGAATATTCCGCAATTTTATCCCAGTGCAGTGGACGTCAGAAATGGACACTTCTGAAGGATCCAAATCTAAGTTATTAAAAACTGAGAACAACATTGCTAATAAGCAAAAGACCCCAAAAGTAACTAGTGCTAGAGCAGTTTCATATCATGGTAAGAAATATTTTTATCAGTTATTTAAGCTTTTGAAAATGTACCACTTGAATGACACTTTTTAATTTTTTAAAAGCTATTATCCACTTTATTATTTATATAGCTATAGGCTAAATACTCTGTTGCTAACTTAAATTGCTGCCAAGCATATGGGTTCATAATCATGTTATGAGTCAGCAAATACCAATTTTCTTTTTGCTATTTATAAAATAACAGTTTTTGTTCAAATTGGTTAGTGTAAATAAATAATACAAATTAAATTGATCTTTAATAAAAACAAGCCTAATAGTAATATTAATTATATGTTTAGAATAAGTAACCTTTGTGTTTAGAATAAGTAACCTATGTGCATTATGCAAAACTGTTATGCATTTTCTTTTTACATTGAAGAAAGTTCAACTGCTGCATCCTATTAATTCATTATGAAAATAAATGCATATCGAAGGATAAATTATAATCATAATTATAAATATGCTACTTTATTTTTGTTTTAAACATTTCAGTTTTATTTAAAAGCATCAGTATTGATTACATTCACCTCATGTATTTGTAAAATGTTGAGTTTATTTGAAGTTGTATTGATTTTGTTTTGCTTTTCTCTATCCTACACTTGAAGAAATGGCAGATGATTGCCTACTGTTGTAAAATGTGCTTATTTGTAGTTGTATTAATTCTGTTTTACTTTCTCTATCTTACACTCACTTGCAGAAATGGCAGATGATCGTCTACTGCAAAAACGAACACAGCTGCAGAGAGAACTGTTAGCATCACTCAAAGAAGATCTTTCTGACTGGATCAAAGAAATGATAGGTAAATTTTCATACATTTGAAGATGGCTGAATTTTTTTTTTTAAATCCTGTAAAAATATAAACAGCCAGCTAGTGAGCGGGGTAAAACAAGGGAACTCATTACATACTGTAACATTCATTAAACTCTGGCACCATTATAAATTTACGTTTACATCTGACTTTTTATGAATGTTCTATTTCTATTTGCTTAAATGTTGCAATTTCTATAACAAATACAACTGCTAAATCCCCAGTCAAAATGGTTCAAATTAGAGGAATAAAGAGTGATTAGGATTCGTTTACACAAAAATTACTTTTACAAAGAGACTCTGTTTACATATGAAGTATGATAAACAACATTGAACTCAAAATGTAATAAAATTATACATAACCTATTTGTTTAATTGAAGGGAATGTGTTTAGGTGGGTCCAGCTGAAAACTGTTTTATTATTTTCTCACAAACACAGGCAGCCATATCAACCTCAGTGCTGATAACTTCATACATGATCTGGACACTGGGACCATCTTGTGTCAGATTTGTTTGAAGATAGAACAGCAAGCTAGCATATGTGCCCAGCAAGGAACTTATACTCAGGTATTCATGCCATTGTCAGTTGACTTGCACAATATTGAAACTTTTCTTTACATCATTGAAGTAGCAAATTGTCAAAAATTAGCAAAAATGTTGCTACGTAAAGCAGCCTGACACAAATTGCCCCCTAAATTATATCACACTGTTTTTGTTCCCATTATAACAACCATAAATATGAGAAAGAAAAAATTCAAATTTAATTAGATTTTCCTCTATTTTTATTTTTCAAAGTATAAATATATATTTAAAGTCACATATCTAACCTCTCCCCCCCCCCTGCATTACCAAGGACCACCCTCACCTTCATTGTGTGACATTTTATTGACCCCTCCCAAACTAAATTAAATCCAACTTTTTTAGTTGATTGAAAATATGTTCACCAGTTGGAGTTAAATCAAAATAAATATTTTTATTTTAATCTACTTTTATGCCAGGTTGTGGTGGGTATGAAAGGCACTAAGTATTTCTTCATGTTCTGTAGATGCAAACTTCTCTCATCCACAGCCACTGCCTAGCTATAAAATCTACTGTAACAAGCATGCTAGATCTGGGTCTTGGTTTGCCAGAGACAATACCACACATTTCTTGAACTGGTGCCGAGCTTATGGCATGATTGAGGAGGCTTTGTTTGACACTGAGGACTTGGGTATGTTGGCTCATGTTGTTTGAGTTTCATGTTATCTTTGAGCTTATGGCATGATTGAGGAGGCTTTGTTTGGCACTGAGGACTTGGGTATGTTGGCTCATGTTGTTTGAGTTTCATGTTATCCTAAAGCTTATGGCATGATTGAGGAGGCTTTATTTGACACTGAGGACTTGGGTATGTTGGCTCATGTTGTTTGAGTTTCATGTTATCTTTGAGCTTATGGCATGATTGAGGAGGCTTTGTTTGACACTGAGGACTTGGGTATGTTGGCTCATGTTGTTTGAGTTTCATGTTATCTTTGAGCTTATGGCATGATTGAGGAGGCTTTGTTTGACACTGAGGACTTGGGTATGTTGGCTCATGTTGTTTGAGTTTCATGTTATCTTTGAGCTTGTGGCATGATTGAGGAGGCTTTATTTGACACTGAGGACTTGGGTATGTTGGCTCATGTTGTTTGAGTTTCATGTTATCTTTGAGCTTATGGCATGATTGAGGGGCTTTGTTTGACACTGAGGACTTGGGTATGTTGGCTCATGTTGTTTGAGTTTCATGTTATCTTTGAGCTTGTGGCATGATTGAGGAGGCTTTGTTTGACACTGAGGACTTGGGTATGTTGGCTCATGTTTGAGTTTCATGTTATCATTGAGGGATTTCTGTTCAAATGATTATGGTTTAAGTTTGCATGACTCTGACGGGTTATGATTGTTTTCATGGCATTCAAAATTTAGTATTAAAAATATAGTTGATACAGCATTAAGTGCGTTTTAAAAAAGAGTGTTATTTTTACGTTTCTCAAAATTATACACCGAAGGAATAAATATTATTGTTGCATGTGTTTGACCGTTAGACACTGAACCAATGAATCTTATTATTACATGTTTTGACAGTTACCCACCATAAAGAAAAGAATGTGATAGATTGCCTAATGGAGCTGGCACGAATAGGTGTCAGGTTTGGCCTGAAGCCACCAAGGTTTATAAGTCTGGAGCAAGAATTGCAACATGAGCTGAGCCTAACCTCGGTCACATCATTAGATGACCTGTTTTTGTCTCCAGCCTCAGTGTCCAGTGAAGATTTAAATGTCTCCCTGCACTCAGATTCTTCTCTACACACCCAGGTAATGTCACGACCTCTCTACCCAGGTAATGTCACAACCTCTCTACCCAGGTAATGTCACAACCTCTCTACCCAGGTAATGTCACAACCTCTCTACCCAGGTAATGTCACAACCTCTCTACCCAGGTCACGACCTCTCTACCCAGGTAATGTCACGACCTCTCTACCCAGGTAATGTCACGACCTCTCTACCCAGGTAATGTCACTACCTCTCTACCCAGGTAATGTCACAACCTCTCTACCCAGGTCACGACCTCTCTACCCAGGTAATGTCACGACCTCTCTACCCAGGTAATGTCACAACCTCTCTACCCAGGTAATGTCACGACCTCTCTACCCAGGTAATGTCACGACCTCTCTACCCAGGTAATGTCAGGACATTCCTTCTCTACACACCCAGGTAATGTCACAACCTCTCTACCCAGGTAATGTCACGACCTCTCTACCCAGGTAATGTCACTACCTCTCTACTCAGGTAATGTCACAACCTCTCTACCCAGGTAATGTCACAACCTCTCTACTCAGGTAATGTCACAACCTCTCTACCCAGGTAATGTCACGACCTCTCTACCCAGGTAATGTCACAACCTCTCTACCCAGGTAATGTCAGGACATTCCTTCTCTACACACCCAGGTAATGTCACTACCTCTCTACCCAGGTAATGTCACTACCTCTCTACCCAGGTAATGTCACTACCTCTCTACCCAGGTAATGTCACGACCTCTCTACCCAGGTAATGTCACGACCTCTCTACCCAGGTAATGTCACTACCTCTCTACCCAGGTAATGTCACGACCTCTCTACCGAGGTAATGTCACAACCTCTCTACTCAGGTAATGTCACAACCTCTCTACCCAGGTAATGTCACGACCTCTCTACCCAGGTAATGTCACTACCTCTCTACCCAGGTAATGTCACAACCTCTCTACCCAGGTAATGTCACGACCTCTCTACCCAGGTAATGTCACGACCTCTCTACGCAGGTAATGTCACGACCTCTCTACCCAGGTAATGTCACTACCTCTCTACCCAGGTAATGTCACTACCTCTCTACCCAGGTAATGTCACTACCTCTCTACCCAGGTAATGTCACGACCTCTCTACCCAGGTAATGTCATGACCTCTCTACCCAGGTAATGTCACTACCTCTCTACCCAGGTAATGTCACTACCTCTCTACCCAGGTAATGTCACGACCTCTCTACCCATGTAATGTCACGACCTCTCTACCCAGGTAATGTCACGACCTCTCTACCTAGGTAATGTCACTACCTCTCTACCCAGGTAATGTCACAACCTCTCTACCCAGGTAATGTCACGAGCTCTTTACCCAGGTAATGTCACTACCTCTCTACCCAGGTAATGTCACTACCTCTCTACCCAGGTAATGTCACTACCTCTCTACCCAGGTAATGTCACGACCTCTCTACCCAGGTAATGTCACGACCTCTCTACCCAGGTAATGTCACGACCTCTCTACCCAGGTAATGTCACTACCTCTCTACCCAGGTAATGTCACGACCTCTCTACCCAGGTAATGTCACTACCTCTCTACCCAGGTAATGTCACTACCTCTCTACTCAGGTAATGTCACGACCTCTCTACCCAGGTAAAGTCACTACCTCTCTACCCAGGTAATGTCACGACCTCTCTACCCAGGTAATGTCACTACCTCTCTACCCAGGTAATGTCACTACCTCTCTACCCAGGTAATGTCACGACCTCTCTACCCAGGTAATGTCAGGACATTCCTTCTCTACACACCCAGGTAATGTCACTACCTCTCTACCCAGGTAATGTCACGACCTCTCTACCCAGGTAATGTCATGACCTCTCTACCCAGGTAATGTCACTACCTCTCTACCCAGGTAATGTCACTACCTCTCTACCCAGGTAATGTCACGACCTCTCTACCCATGTAATGTCACGACCTCTCTACCCAGGTAATGTCACGACCTCTCTACCTAGGTAATGTCACTACCTCTCTACCCAGGTAATGTCACAACCTCTCTACCCAGGTAATGTCACGAGCTCTTTACCCAGGTAATGTCACTACCTCTCTACCCAGGTAATGTCACTACCTCTCTACCCAGGTAATGTCACTACCTCTCTACCCAGGTAATGTCACGACCTCTCTACCCAGGTAATGTCACGACCTCTCTACCCAGGTAATGTCACGACCTCTCTACCCAGGTAATGTCACTACCTCTCTACCCAGGTAATGTCACGACCTCTCTACCCAGGTAATGTCACTACCTCTCTACCCAGGTAATGTCACTACCTCTCTACTCAGGTAATGTCACGACCTCTCTACCCAGGTAATGTCACTACCTCTCTACCCAGGTAATGTCACAACCTCTCTACCCAGGTAATGTCACAACCTCTCTACCCAGGTAATGTCACGACCTCTCTACCCAGGTAATGTCACTACCTCTCTACCCAGGTAATGTCACTACCTCTCTACCCAGGTAATGTCACAACCTCTCTACCCAGGTAATGTCACAACCTCTCTACCCAGGTAATGTCACAACCTCTCTACCCAGGTAATGTCACTACCTCTCTACCCAGGTAATGTCACTACCTCTCTACCCAGGTAATGTCACGACCTCTCTACCCAGGTAATGTCACGACCTCTCTACGCAGGTAATGTCAGGACATTCCTTCTCTACACACCCAGGTAATGTCACGACCTCTCTACCCAGGTAATGTCACAACCTCTCTACCCAGGTAATGTCACAACCTCTCTACCCAGGTAATGTGACGACCTCTCTACCCAGGTAATGTGACGACCTCTCTACCCAGGTAATGTCACAACCTCTCTACCCATGTAATGTCACGACCTCTCTACCCAGGTAATGTCACGACCTCTCTACCCAGGTAATGTCACAACCTCTCTACCCAGGTAATGTCACAACCTCTCTACCCAGGTAATGTGACGACCTCTCTACCCAGGTAATGTGACGACCTCTCTACCCAGGTAATGTCACAACCTCTCTACCCATGTAATGTCACGACCTCTCTACCCAGGTAATGTCACGACCTCTCTACCCAGGTAATGTCACAACCTCTCTACCCAGGTAATGTCACAACCTCTCTACCCAGGTAATGTGACGACCTCTCTACCCAGGTAATGTCACAACCTCTCTACCCATGTAATGTCACGACCTCTCTACCCAGGTAATGTCACGACCTCTCTACCCAGGTAATGTCACAACCTCTCTACCCAGGTAATGTCAGGACATTCCTTCTCTACACACCCAGGTAATGTCAGGACATTCCTTCTCTACACACCCAGGTAATGTCACTACCTCTCTACCCAGGTAATGTCACGACCTCTCTACCCAGGTAATGTCACAACCTCTCTACCCAGGTAATGTCAGGACATTCCTTCTCTACACACCCAGGTAATGTCAGGACATTCCTTCTCTACACACCCAGGTAATGTCACTACCTCTCTACCCAGGTAATGTCACGACCTCTCTACCCAGGTAATGTCACGACCTCTCTACCCAGGTAATGTCACGACCTCTCTACCCAGGTAATGTCACGACCTCTCTACCCAGGTAATGTCACGACCTCTCTACCCAGGTAATGTCACGACCTCTCTACCCAGGTAATGTCACGACCTCTCTACCCAGGTAATGTCACGACCTCTCTACCCAGGTAATGTCACGACCTCTCTACCCAGGTAATGTCACAACCTCTCTACCCAGGTAATGTCAGGACATTCCTTCTCTACACACCCAGGTAATGTCACGACCTCTCTACCCAGGTAATGTCACGACCTCTCTACCCAGGTAATGTCACGACCTCTCTACCCAGGTAATGTCACAACCTCTCTACCCAGGTAATGTCAGGACATTCCTTCTCTACACACTCAGGTAATGTCACGACCTCTCTACCCAGGTAATGTCACGACCTCTCTACCCAGGTAATGTCACAACCTCTCTACCCAGGTAATGTCAGGACATTCCTTCTCTACACACCCAGGTAATGTCACTACCTCTCTACCCAGGTAATGTCACGACCTCTCTACCCAGGTAATGTCACGACCTCTCTACCCAGGTAATGTCACAACCTCTCTACCCAGGTAATGTCAGGACATTCCTTCTCTACACACCCAGGTAATGTCACGACCTCTCTACCCAGGTAATGTCACGACCTCTCTACCCAGGTAATGTCACGACCTCTCTACCCAGGTAATGTCACAACCTCTCTACCCAGGTAATGTCAGGACATTCCTTCTCTACACACCCAGGTAATGTCACGACCTCTCTACCCAGGTAATGTCACGACCTCTCTACCCAGGTAATGTCACAACCTCTCTACCCAGGTAATGTCAGGACATTCCTTCTCTACACACCCAGGTAATGTCAGGAAATTCCCTTTCAACATAAGTTTTGATTGTGAGATGATTTGAACCCATTACAGAATTGATAATGTAGTACCCTTTAAGACCTGATGATCAATAAAGCTGATGAAGTTGATTTGATTTTCTAGCACCAAGCATTTAAGTTGATGTTTTGAGCAGTTGGTGCCCCTAACTTTCCCCCACATTTTCCAAGGTACCATTATGTACAGGACCATTTTATATCTTAGTCATTTTTATGGCTGGTTCCTTGCTGCACACAAAACCACTTATGCTTGGATGTTAGGATAGAGGGGCTTAACATTATACATTTAAAAAATCTGGCAACATCTAGAATGAGGTATGCCACTTTGTAAATATCCATAAAATAAGCATTAAATTAAATTTGAATGGTCTTTGTCTGCACCATAAGTTATAGCTTAATTGAATAAAATTGTGTTAGGTTAAATTATGCCAGGATTTTTTTTAAAAAGGCACTGTGTCTATATGAGCCAGTTGTTTTAATGTGAAATGTTTATTAGGTGGATATTATCACAACTGTTTAAACCAAGAACATGAACACAACAATAAACAAGCCAGAACCAAAGTTGAACATGTTCTGTAAATAAGTTGTAGCCATAAGTTGTAGCCATCAGCAGAGAAGTAAAGAAGAGACTCAGAGGTGTGATTTGGCAGCTAGTAGTTTGTGGAGAATTGTCCCAGCAGTCTAGAAGTTTATTTCAAATTCATCCCATTGACCTCAACTCCTGGTGTCTTTGCAGGAGGTTTCTAACCTAAATTCTTCTCCAACTGTCAGTGAGGATAGATCTAATCGCTGCCCAGATCCATCTAAATGGATACTCCTCTTTGCTTCTCTGTGCTTAGCTATGCGCTTTATGTAAGTTCCCTGGTGGATTCATCCATTTTAAAAGTTAAAATTTCATTCAGTCACAAGTCACTAAAAAGTGGAGATAATTTAATGTTTTGTTAAAAAAGAAATATTCCCAGAGTTACTGAACATTTCTGTTGCTGATTTTTTGGAACTATGTGGTGGGATGGTAGAGCAATTGACTGCTAGCCCTAAGGTCTGAAGATCATATATTTGTCCATGCTCCAGACTACGGGATGTCAGTGAGTCCATACAGTTCTGAGGGTGGCTAAAAGTAAAGGCGGCTGGGCATAGTGCTGACCACACCATCTTTTAATATGCCGATGTCATGAAACATATGAACAACTCATCAAGTGCCCGTTAGATTTGAAAAGGGAACTTAGCCTTTTTTTTTAATTTTCTGTATGTGCAAAAAAAGCTATCACATATCAAGTACCATAAGTGTGCAAAATGGCTGTAGTTGTTTTTCTTTCTGTAGGTTGATAGATTGAGCAAGGCGTACAAAACAGAGAATAAAGTCCATAAGATCACTGAAGGGCAGTACCTTGTGTATGGGAAAAAGATGTTAATCAGAGTAAGAGTTTATCTATTCTTATACACTGGCCTCACATCAGTTTTAAAATGCTGAGTTTTGTGTCAATAATTTAGCTCAAGAAAAAAATAATTGGATAACAATCTTCAAATCAGAAATTCTTGGAATTATGTTAAGAAGCATTATGGCTCTAACTGTAAAGTAGGTGTACACATACATTGTCAACAGCTGACCCCTACATTAGCAACAGCTGACCCCTACATTAGCAACAGCTGACCCCTACATTAGCAACAGCTGACCCCTACATTAGCAACAGCTGACCCCTACATTAGCAACAGCTGACCCCTACATTAGCAACAGCTGACCCTTACATTAGCAACAGCTGACCTCTACATTAGCAACAGCTGACCCCTACATTGTCAACAGCTGACCCCTACATTAGCTACAGCTGACCCCTACATTAGCAACATATGACCCCTACATTAGCAACATATGACCCCTACATTAGCAACATATGACCCCTACATTAGCAACATATGACCCCTACATTAGCAACAGCTGACCCCTACATTAGCAACATATGACCCCTACATTAGCAACAGCTGACCCCTACATTAGTATTAACGATTAGCCTGGCTTTGATAGAGTTTCCTTCCCTCAGCTGTGCAGGAACAAGCAACTGATGGTGAGGATAGGTGGAGGCTGGGAGACATTTGAGAGTTACCTGATGAGCCACGCCCCAATCTTGTCCTCGGATGACTCCTGTGAGACCGTCCAACAAAGTAAATCCTATTTTATACACAGAACCAGTAACTCCAGTATGGTGAGGGGCAAGAAAAAAGCCAAACTCTTCTCTAAAAGTTTCCAATAAAACAAAAGTAGTTCACATACAATGGCCAGTAGTTGCTTCTTTGTTTATCTATCATATGTTAAAAGTTTCTTGTATTCATGCAGGTCCTATGTAGACAGGGTTTCTTCTGAGATACAGTACCAAAAATATTTTGTCTATTCATTCGTTATGTGTGAGGGGGTCTATTGTTTGATTGGTACAGTCCACTGCTTCAGATCTCACCATACAGTTTGGAAATGAGAAATACCAAGTGGTTCAGACAAAAACAATTGAGGCTGGTTTGGTTAGGTTGGACTGACAGCATAATAGAAAGTTGACCAACATTGAAACAAGATAAAATTTAACACTAAGAAAAGTGCAACTGAGTAATAACGTCCGCCACTTAAATTATGTGTCCTCGTCAGCCACGTCAATAATGATGAGATAAAAGGCCATGATCATGTCTGAGATACAGAGGTTGGACACAAACTGCCCGTATACTGTCAGCAGAACTTTTCTATCCCATATCACCCTATACGCTAGAGCTAGCAAATTCCCCACAACAGCCAGTAGACCTATCGCCCACAGGAGAGTTCTCTGGCTAACATCACCGACTAGATCTAAACACGAAGAAATGGAAATCATATCAGAAAAACATCTTTCAACAGGGATGTTCTTGCCTAGCGCTTGTTGACAGCACAGCATGTAATTAGATGTTCTAATCACGGTATTAATTTTAATGTTTTTGAAGTAATTAGAGCCTATATTCTTCATGCGTGTGACTCTGATATAAAAAACGTTTAGGGGTATAATCGCGTGGTTCATCTGATTTTATTTTCATGGATTTACAATTAAGTTTAATTAGTTTTGAAAACTCACTGCTAATGATAATTGGTATTAAATTAAAATGTTTACCACTAGAATCAGAAGTGCGAGTATGATCACTAATATGGTTAGTATAATTGGTAATATCAGAATACAAATCAGACAGTCGCTGTCCTGAAACACAGTTCACCCCTTTAGGACACTCAACGGGACAATTGATTTCATCGTCACCCTCAGGACAGTCACTGAACCCAGTCACCTTTAGGACAGTCACTGAACCCGGTCACCTTCAGGACAGTCACTGAACCATGTCACACTCAGGACAGTCACTGAACCCAGTCACCCTCAGGACAGTCACTGAACCCTGTCACACTCAGGACAGTCACTGAACCCAGTCACCTTTAGGACAGTCACTGAACCCGGTCACCTTCAGGACAGTCACTGAACCATGTCACACTCAGGACAGTCACTGAACCATGTCACCCTCAGGACAGTCACTGAACCCTGTCACACTCAGGACAGTCACTGAACCCAGTCACCTTTAGGACAGTCACTGAACCCGGTCACCTTCAGGACAGTCACTGAACCATGTCACACTCAGGACAGTCACTGAACCCAGTCACCTTTAGGACAGTCACTGAACCCTGTCACCCTCAGGACAGTCACTGAACCCTGTCACACTCAGGACAGTCACTGAACCCTGTCACCTTCAGGACAGTCACTGAACCCAGGACAGTCACTGAACCCTGTCACCCTCAGGACAGTCACTGAACCCTGTCACCTTTAGGACAGTCACTGAACCCAGTCACCTTTAGGACAGTCACTGAACCCAGTCACCTTTAGGACAGTCACTGAACCCTGTCACCCTCAGGACAGTCACTGAACCCTGTCACACTCAGGACAGTCACTGAACCCTGTCACACTCAGGACAGTCACTGAACCCTGTCACACTCAGGACAGTCACTGAACCCTGTCACACTCAGGACAGTCACTGAACCCAATCACCTTTAGGACAGTCACTGAACCCTGTCACCTTCAGGACAGTCACTGAACCCTGTCACCTTCAGGACAGTCACTGAACCCAGTCACCCTCAGGACAGTCACTGAACCCTGTCACCTTCAAGACAGTCACTGAACCCAGTCACCTTCAAGACAGTCACTGAACCCTGTCACCCTCAGGACAGTCACTGAACCCAGTCACCTTCAGGACAGTCACTGAACCCAGTCACCCTCAGGACAGTCCTTGAACCCAGTCACCCTCAGGACAGTCACTGAAACCATCGCAAACACTCTTTGAGAACACACGCTGAGATGTATTGAAACACTTAAACATCTGAACTGTTGCTTCATCGTCTCCGTGTGGGCAATCCTGTGTCTTGTCATGGACAAAAGTCTCTAAGATACAATAAGACAGTGGACTTTTGTCCGGGGCGGGTTCTTGAAATTTTTGTGGGGACAGACGACGACGACGACAACAGTTAAAGTAAATATTTCCTATATACATTCCATTTCGTTCTGGATGCCTGGAAGAAACTCTGCAATTCACTTAACGCTGGATAAAGTATTTTTTACATTTATTATTAAGATTCTTTTTACCGCAATTGTATACTATGCACGCATGTAAATTATGAAAGACCAAAACGGAGAGAAGCATACATCCTCGCTCGAACTCTTGTTAACACGTTATAAAATATGTTTTCCGATTAAATTTGTTTTATTTTCTGCTGCATGCGAATTAGGACTACTCGAGTTAATGATTTAGATCTACCTAGCCCAATATAAAAAATCTATTAAAATAAAAATCTCATTTGCGATTAAAAGCTCGGATTAGAGGACGCCGCAAGTGAAGCAATTTAAACGAGACGCTCTCCTATCGGAAATCAATAAAACAACTGCGGGCGGACATGACTGGACTAAACTGCGTCCCATTAAATCAAAAGGGAAATAAAAAGTCCACTCAGCAGAAGGTAAATGAACCGGAAGTGGAGCGTTCAAGGTGATGTAATCACGCGCAGCTGCGCATAGGCTCTCGAGATAGCATAGAACACTTACTCGAGTTTTAGAATCTGCTTACGGTTAAGATCTTGTTTCATCCAACAATTAGCCACACGAGTTTCACCCATATATTAGCCACACGAGTTTCACCAATATATTAGCCAGAGGCGTAGCGAGGGGGGGGGGGACATATGTCCCCGGGCGCCGACCTTAGGGGGCGCCTAAATTGGTTGGAAAAATAAATCGAAATCTTGAGGGGGGTGCAAATCGAAAGTTTGAGGGTGGGGTGCAAATTGAAATCTTGAGGGGGGTGCAAATCGAAAGTTTGAGGGGGGGGGGTGCAAATCGAAAGTTTGAGGGGGGTTGCAAATCGAAAGTGAGGGGGTGCAAATCGAAAGTTTGTCCCCGGGCGCCGGGAAGGGTCGCTACGCCTCTGATATTAGCCACTCGAGTTTTGTACAACAATTAGCCACACGAATTTCGTCTATCAGTCCACACCAGTTTCATCCAACAATTAGCCAGAGTTGTTCATAAATACATTGTTCAATTGAAGCCGTTTCTTCTTCTTGGAGTAAAAAAAACTGTTTACAACAGTCACGCTCTTCATTGGTAATGTTCTGTGAATTAAATTCTTCACTTCAAGCAGAGGCGTAGCGACCCTTTCACGGCGCCCGGGGATAAAATTTCGATTTGCACCCCCCCCCCCTCAAACTTTCAATTTGCACCCCCACCCTTAAACATTCAATTTGTTTTTCCAACCCATTTTGGCGCCCTCCTAAGGTTGTCGCCCGGGGACATATGTTCCCCACCCCCCGCCCCCTGACTTCAAGCAAATAACATGTTTTTATTTGCAATTCTTTTAACTACACTAGACCTTTTATTGAATATTTCCAGACTGTTCTGAGACAGTTCCTTTGTCTGAGCCTGCACTACCCACTAATACAACTTCGAATTTACCAGAGATGTTTGATGTACAGTTTGGACCGACCCCCACCACCAAGTCTTAAAACTGTCCGCTCAGCTAAGGAATCTCGATTTGGGGGGGGGGGGGGGGGAATTAGGTGTGAACTTCTGCAGAAACGGCGGGACTTTTTTAGGGAAAATTAATGGAATTATTTAATGGACTATTGTAGGGAATATTAATGGAATTATTGCATTTGACTATTGTAGGGAATACTGCATTAGCTATTGTAGGGACTATTGTATGGAATATAGCAGGAGCTATTGTAGGGACTTGTAGGAATATTGAGGGAACTTAAAGAAGGAACTTAGAGAATTAAAAAAAGCACCAAAAGAAAAAGAAAAGATTCTGTACAGAAAGGGGAAATAAGTGTGGAGATGAAATTGTGAGTTTAGATTATAGAGAACTGTCACCAAGTACACCAGAGGAATGGAGTTGTATAGAGATCAGACTCACCGAATTGATATTAGAGAGAAATATGATCGTCTTCAACATCTTCGTATAGTTTTTGTCAGTTTCTGGTTCAATTATAATCGAAAAAGAAGGAATGTTCGTGAAGAAAAATTACGAGTTTGTGTTTTCTTTTGATGATGACTGGCCAGCTATATAAAGAGGAAAATTATGAGTATGGATTATTTTAATACTGGCGCTGAAACCGCTGAGTTATACGCTGAAATCATTGACGTGTGTTCTGTGTCTTTGTGCCCTAGTGCCCTCTAATACTGGGAGTTTACATGTAGCAAAGAAACTATATCTCTCGACATCGACCATTTATACAATTTTATTTATTTCTCTAATGCGGCACTTTGAAATCCTCTTTTATTGCTCAATTGTCGGCTTATTTCAGCAGAGATCCAACTAAGTGTGTGACAAGTCAATCGAATTTGAATGCTTTATCTAGGTTCTGTGGTGATTCAAAGTCTGGCTGCTTGCAGACATTCCTTTTGTGATTCGCCATTACCACAGACAACACCACCTACACATGGATGGATGGGCGGTTGATGAATTAGACACAAACATTGTCGCAGTTTATAATCACTACAAAGCATATCTTCATAACTGTCAATACAAAAATTTGCCAACCATAAAAACTACATGTACATCATCACACAACCACCACTCCACACAACAACCACATAACAACCACCACACTACCCCATGTTAAACTACGTAACACCGCGCGACAACATAAGCCACGGAATGACACCAGAATATCATCATGATAATCCTCTTATTCCTGTCAGGATATTCTTAAGCCATCAATTTAGATAAACATAAACGTCACAATACATTTTCGGCAGATATTATGCAAACAAGCACCCACAAATAAATATAAGTTGGCCTTTAAACCCTATGTGTTTATAACAATCAAAATATCCTTAGTGTGAAGTTCTTCTATCAGCCCAGTTTGTATGTGGCCTAAATGCAGATCTGATTCAGAACCTACCTGCTATAGTCTAGTTGAATATTTTAATTAAGGTAGATTTAGACAAAGATAATGTTCAAGCCATTCACCCTTAGGGGTTATTTTATACATGAATTAGAAAGTAAATGTGAATTACAGCAAGTCTTTCGAAAGTATGTGTATTAAAGAAACTTTAATGTACCACATCGTTAATACGTCTCTGTGGCGCAATTGGTTAGCGCGTTCGGCTGTTAACCGAAAGGTTGGTGGTTCGAGCCCACCCAGGGACGAATGTTGTTTTTTTATAATCTGAAATATTGTTAAGCATTGATTGATTGGTCGACAGTTATCGCACTTTGTAATTGTTGTATCGGCATTGCCAATGTTGCCCTAAAACACTCTTTCAAAAACTAAAATTCGTGTTTTCTGTTGTTTTGTTTAGCTCAACCTTTATTAGATAAAAAAAGACAAGATTAAATGACATACATTTGAAGTGTATCCTTTATGTATTTAGCGACTGTTACCTCGGTTAATTCTTTAGTGCTTTGTTGAATTATTGATTGCTCCAAAAAATATTCTACATCTGAACCAGTTTAATGTGCTAAAAATGTGCTAACAAAAAAGAAGTTACTTTTAGTAAGCTGTAGTGACTGTTTAAATTAATTTATAATTATTTTTTTTTTAGTGTCTCTGATGACTTCGTAGATTTTTAATGTGTAACCTGCTAAAATATCTCTTCGTAAGCGACTGATTGTATGTATCGAACACAAAAACAAGCAGGGAATAAGATGGCTGATTTCTATAAATAGAATAGGTTATTTTATTGGAATGTTTTTATGTTACATACATTATGACAACGGATTTTAATTTGTCATTGTTATCTCCCGTAGCTTCCAATAAAGTTCAGCAGAGTTCTCTGTCCTGTTCAGGGGGTCGTCGTGGTCAAGTCGGTAAAGCTCATGGTTGCTAAACCGAAAAGTCTCGAGTTCGAACCCTCGGGCAGATGAGGCTCGTTAGCTGGGGACAGCCACTCTTCTAGGAGAGACAACTCCAAAATTAAACAACTGCTGCCTTGTAGTTTGTTCTTGGTTGGACAAAGGCTATGGAAGCAAATCCCAAAAGAAAAGCAGGCTGAAATCGGAGTCAATGGCCTCAAAGGCGCATAACCAGTTGACACGTAACGCTTAATTGTGTTGGAGGCGTGGTCGAGTCGGCAAAAAGCTCATGGTTGATAAATTCGAGTTCAAAACCCACTGGCAGATAAATCTCGATCACCCTTCAACACTAATAATTAAGAACGAAGAAGAAAGAAAAAAGAAGAAGTCCTGTTCTATTTTCGCTCTTTCTTCCCTGTGGAGATTTCCGCAACCTTGTAAACACGAATGTTGTTTGAAAACACCGCGTACAGAAACACCACTAGCAAGCCGTAGTTGCGTTAAGATTGACGTGTAGCTATAACAATGGTGTCGATGCTCAAATCAACCAGGAGTTGTGGCAATTCGCTTGTCTATTTGAATATAACCAGGGATTTTTACTTTAATCAAATGTAATTTTTTTGGTGGTACAATGGTAACTTCCGCGGAAGTCTTCAAGATTTTCAACAAACTTAAGATAATCAACTCGACATTGAAATGAATATTTTGAAAGAGGGGGGGGGAGAAAAGATGACATTGTTATCTGCGGGGTACTGATACTTTAAATCTCTACACATGTGAACAGAGAGATAGACAAACATAGACAGACATATAGATCGACAGACATGGAGATAGACAGAAATTTAGATAGACAGACATATAGATCGACAGACATAGAGATAGACAGAAATTTAGATAGAAAGATATATAGATAGACAGACATATAGATCGACAGACATAGAGATAGACAGAAATTTAGATAGACAGACATATAGATAGACAGATATATAGATAGACAGACATATAGACAGACATAGATAAACAGACATAGATAGAGAGACATTAGATGAGCTCTTTCTTTAGCTTTACCTTGGACACTGGCCATCAGTAGGTAAATGTTAGGTCAGGCTCACCCATAAATCACACGCATACACACACACAGACACACACTCGCGCATACATGCATTATCATTGCATCAGGACATCACAACTCAGCCTACCTACCTACATCTCCACCCCCCCCCCCCACCCCACCCTCCCCAAGAATAAATCCTACTGTCGCCCAAGACGTGGAAATAGCATATTTAAATGTGAAATTGTTACAATGTTAAAAACCGAAATTGGCATTTTTAAGTTCTAAAATGTCATAATTCTTTCTGAGAAAAAAACCCCATAAGAGTCTTAGCTTAGTAAAGAAAATAAATTGTAATCTTTTTACTTATTGTAAATAGGAAAATTTTTGTGGCGAAGCATATTATGGGTAAAATATATTTTCCCCAGATTATATGTATTTATTTTGTTTTCGTACATTCTTCAAAACTAACCGTCGCATTAGCCCAGTTCCAGATGTCTCCAGCAATGATTGGCACCAGAGATGACGAAACATCGGACCCTCGGTTGTTTGTTGATAAAGAAAGGCCCTCGCCCGACGGCTCAGCAGACACGGCACCTGTCGCCCTCTCGCCTGTCCTGAAGCACGCACGTCACCTGGCTCAAGAATGGAATTTCCCGAGCTGAGCCGAGCAGACTAAGTACTCACAGAGTGGCAGATGATCTGTTTGTAGGGGACGTCGTCAGGTCTGGTGGATTGATTTCTGGGGCTCGCTGGGGGAGATACAGGCCTTAGGAGAACAGCAGGTAAGACATAGGTGTTGTGATGAGACATGTGTTGTGGTGAGACAGGTGTTGTGGTTAGACGGGTGTTGTGGTGAGGCAGGTGTTGTGGTGAGGCAGGTGTTGTGGTGAGACAGGTGTTGTGGTGAGACAGGTGTTGTGGTTAGACGGGTGTTGTGGTGAGGCAGGTGTTGTGGTGAGACAGGTGAGACGGGTGTTGTGGTGAGACAGGTGAGACGGGTGTTGTGGTGAGACAGGTGTTGTGGTGAGACAGGTGTTGTGGTGAGACGTGTGTTGTGGTGAGACAGGTGTTGTGGTGAGATAGGAGTTGTGAGACAGGTGTTGTGGTGAGATAGGTGTTGTGTTGAGATAGGAGTTGTGGTGAGACAGGTGTTGTGGTGAGACATGTGTTGTGTTGAGACAGGTGTTGTGGTGAGATAGGAGTTGTGAGACAGGTGTTGTGGTGAGATAGGTGTTGTGGTGAGACAGGTGTGGTGAGATAGGTGTTGTGGTGAGACAGGTGTTGTGGTGAGACAGGTGTTGTGGTGAGACAGGTGTTGTGGTGAGACAGGTGTTGTGGTGAGACATGTGTTGTGGTGAGACAGGTGAGACGGGTGGTGTGGTGAGACAGGTGAGACGGGTGTTGTGGTGAGACAGGTATTGTGGTGAGACAGGTATTGTGGTGAGACATGAGTTGTGTTGAGACGTGTGTTGGGGTGAGACATGTGTTGTGGTGAGACAGGTGTTGTGGTGAGACAGGTGTTGTGGTGAGACGTGTTGTGGTGAGACGTGTTGTGGTGAGACATGTGTTGTGGTGAGACAGGTGTTGTGGTGAGATAGGAGTTGTGAGACAGGTGAGACAGGTGTTGTGGTGAGACGTTTTGTGGTGAGACGTGTGTATGTGAGACAGATGTTGTGATGAGATATGTGTTATAGTGATACAGTTGTTGTGGTGATACATGTGTTGTAGTGAGACAGGTGTGGTGAGATATGTTCAGGTAAGACATGTGTTGTAGTGAGACAGGTGTGGTGAGATATGTTCAGGTAAGACATGTGTTGTAGTTAGACAGGTGTGGTGAGATATGTTCAGGTAAGACATGTGTTGTAGTTAGACAGGTGTGGTGAGATATGTTCAGGTAAGACATGTGTTGTAGTTAGACAGGTGTGGTGAGACATTTTGTCAAGCGACAGATATAGTAGTGTTAAAACGGATTCAAAAAGGTTACTTCCTTTTAAAACACGTTGAATAGCCTGTCTATACATATTGATATATTTCCCCTTTGTATTTTCACGGTTGAGATGAAGCAAGAATATCGATTTATTTCACCTAAAGCCAGGTAAAGTGATCGATTTAAACGTACATCTTTAAATGACACTTCGACTAGTGTTAATTAGAATTAAGACTAGCCGGTCACCTTTAGAGGTCGTCCCTAATTGTGGTCGCACTACGGACAAGGGATTACAATAATTGGGATAATCCTTTCATATATAGGGGCTTAACCACACAGTGTTTCTTTCAGACATTTATCCTGCATGCTAGCCTTAATTATTATGATCATTATATGGTTACATTTTCGGAGAGTATTGACATGCACAATAAATTATTCATTTTCAAAGCAGCAATGTAAAAATTTCAAATTTTAAAGCATTAATTCTTCCAATGTCTCAATTATTAGTTTTTCACACGATGTGGACTGTATTAAATAGTATTTGACATCCAAATTAAGGGCCAAACAAATTTGGCATTCCAACAATGGATTTAGGTTTGGTTACACCAACTGCTTACAAAATCCTTCTTTCTGTGCCTCCTTTTCAAAAGCAAAGTCTTGGTTCTCCCCATTGAAATACTGAAATACTTAATAATCTTGTCGCTTCACTTCAAAAAAATCCTGGCAACTTCCAGCCTCTTACTCTCACTCCATAAAATGTGGGTTTGTTTTTTTACTCAGATGTTTATAGTTAGTGGTAAAACCATACCTTTTTACCCCGATGTTTATAGTTAGTGGTAAAACCATACCTTTTTACCCCGATGTTTATTGTTAGTGGTAAAACCATACCTTTTTTTAAACCAAATGTTTAAAGTTAGTGGTAAAACCATACCTTTTTACCCCGATGTTTATTGTTAGTGGTAAAACCATACCTTTTTTTTAACCAAATGTTTAAAGTTAGTGGTAAAACCATACCTTTTTACCCAGACGTTTATTGTTAGTGGTAAAACCATATTCTTTTTACCAAGATGATTATAGTTAGTGGTAAATCCATACCTTTTTTACCCAGATGTAATGCCTTATTGATCGAAACGTCAAACAGACAAGCCGTTTTGAGGCCAGTCAAAGAAATAACTACGGATACTGTGGTGGGGGGGGGGGGGGGGGGAACGATAGCCCAATCAATTTTGATGAAATATTTGTTCATTTATTTTTTCCATGTTGCTTCCATGACAAATTCCTTCTTAGAAGCAGAATGAGACAACTAAAAAACTAGCAAAACGTACATTTTAAAAATTGTGCCTATAATTCACAAGATTTGTTATAGTAAGATAAAAAATTATTACATGGGGCAAGGACGAAAAGTTTAACTACTTTTTGAGTGCGACGGGGGGGGGGGGGGGGGGGGCAAGTTTCTCTGGTAGAGAGAGAACGATGATTGTCTGAAGTGATAGAGAAAGGCAGTTTTGTGTTATTCCTGTTGTATATTTCTTTTGTGTGTTAGTCTTGCGCACAAAAGTATAGTCCCTAATATAACAAGCAACACGCCACAAAACATAAGGCAGGATCATACAAAAAGATATTTAACACAAAAATGTAAACAAAACATACCTAGGCCAGCCAGTGGCGTAGCCAGGAATTGGTCATGGGAGGGGTTCAAGTATTTTTCCATAAAGTCATATATATATATATATATATATATATATATATATATATATATATATATATATATATATATATATATATATATATATATATGTGTGTGTGTGTATATATGGGTGTGAGTCCATGGGAGGGTTTATACGCCCCCCCCCTTACGCCACTGAGGCCAGCAGTAGACAAATATAAACAACCAAACGATGGTGACATAATTTAGAACTACTTAATAAAAATATCAACAGGTTATCTACAAGAAACGAATTGGTAGTGGTACATTCGCCTTTTGACAAATATAAAAATGATAAAAAATTAGACACACCCCAGCCAGTCAAACTCACCTCTCTTATTGCTTGTATATATTGTTTAATAAATTAATTACACTGCACTCGATTTCTTCAATATTTCATCTCATCTCTGAGCAGTGTCTAGACCGATGCCATTAAATTGTAAAAAAAAAAGTTTTAATATTTCTCAATAATTTATTATTTTTCTAATGTAAGCGTACAAGCGTGTCTAGAATCCTCTGGGGTGGGGTGGGGGGGGGGTGGGGGGTGGTGGCGTGTCGGCGGTAGGTGAGGTCCAGTATACCAAATGAAACTATAATTATGATACGCAACTGTTCATCACCATCTTTTCTTGTTTATGTCCAACACTCATGAGTCACATGAAGTAGAGTTCATCTGTTGCAATGTCCTCGACATACGAGGTGATAGTGTGGCCAGCACTATGCCCAGTCGCCTTAGATTCCCTAGCGTGAGTCGGGTATAAAACATATCGTGTTCGACTCATTGACATCTAACTGACTTGAGCACGGGATCCGAACTCGCGACTTTCGGGTTGGAAGTCGTAGGCACAACCATCTGACCACGCCATTCCGTATACGCTATTATTAACAGCATTGCCAGCATATTTCTGTGATAGGTAAGGAAAAACAATCTATGGACATGATACCAACGTAAGAGCCAACACAGACATGCGCCGCTGTCGTATGCTAGCGTCCACTTCTTGAAGGCGTACCCCGACTCACATTCTGAAGACCTACCCGACTCACATTCTAAAGACCTCTCCAAAATCCTATTTTAAAGACCTATCCCGACATACATTCTGAAGACCTACCCAACTCACATCCAGAAGACCTACCCGACTCACATTCAGAAGACCTATCCCGACATACATTCTGAAGACCTATCCCGACTCACATTCTGAAGACCTATCCGACTCACATCCAGAAGACCTATCCCGACTCACATTCTGAAGACCTACCCGACTCACATCCAGAAGACCTATCCCGACTCACATTCTGAAGACCTACCCGACTCACATTCTGAAGACCTACCAGACTCCTACCCGACTCACATTCTGAAGACCTATCCCGACTCACATCCAGAAGACCTATCCCGACTCACATTCTGAAGACCTACCCGACTCACATTCTGAAGACCTATCACGACTCACATTCAGAAGACCTACCCGACTCACATTCAGAAGACCTACCCGACTCACATTCAGAAGACCCATCCGAAATCCTATTTTAAAGACCTATTCCGACTTTCCGCCTACGTTTATTGCGTAACAAAACATTTCCCCAACAAATTAGCCGCGACCACAACTGGGGTCTAATGAAATAAAGCAGCCTTGTTAGGAGACCAACCCGTTAATTGGGACTAAGTGAGGTCCACACCCACGCAGTGCATGGCTGACATAAGAAACGGAAATGGGGAGGGGGTGGGGAGAGGGTGGGGTGGGGGCTGTAATAGCTATTGTGATTCACTGATCACTCAATCAATGAAAGAAAGTGATGATTGAATCTTGCGTACTCTAATGTATTCCTAGTTATAACGGAATGGAGTGCCTCAGTGTGTGAAATATGCTACACCCTACACACTAAAGTAGGATACAAAGACATACGCCCTGCACACTAAAGTAAGACACACAGACATACGCCCTACATACTAAAGTAAAATACAAAGTCATACGCCCTGCACACTAAAGTAAGACATAAAACATCTTACACCGCGTTTACTCTTGCGACATATATACCATACATGTTTACTATACATGTCTAGAAAAAAAATCTTCGCAATACAATGAATAAAAGCTTCTCTTTAACGCGCAGTTGGTTGTTAACTTTCCACTTCCCGCCTCTACCCTCTACAC